ATTCTCATTCTACGTGACTTTACCGAAAGAACCAAAGAAGATGAATCATTGCAGTCACGAAAGCTTTAAATCGAAATATGGAACAACGTTGTTGTGGGAACCATTGGACCCACGACGTTTTAATGTATGAACTAAAAAAAGAACGAAGTTCCAGGAAGTCTTGCTGATTTTAACGCCCGTCGTAATAATAACCACAATTATTCCGACGGAAACTCACCAGCACGTTACGTTGGGCATCCGTGGCCTTGCAGAGCGAGGGTTTAGGTTTAGGTCTCTCCGAGATTTGCAGGTAATACAGAAGTTGACAGTCGTAGCTGAGCTCGCTGGCGGATTTGTAGTCAAAAGTTGAGCTTGCTGATGACTGTGTGTGGCCTAGAGATCAGCTCTACGGACAGAGTTGAGTTCACCGGTGCCTGTATGGATGGAGTTAAGTTCACCGGTGGCCCTGTATTTATAGCTGTGGCTACTCGAGGACCTGTTTTTATTGTTTAGGCCACGAGGGGCCCTGTAGCTGTGGTCTAGGTGACTGGTGGCCCTGTAGCTGTGGTCTAGGTGACTGGTGGCCCTGTAGCTGTGGTCTAGGTGACTGGTGGCCCTGTAGCTGTGGTCTAGGTGACTGGTGGCCCTGTAGCTGTGGTCTAGGTGACTGGTGGCCCTGTAGCTGTGGTCTAGGTGACTGGTGGCTCTGTAGCTGTGGTCTAGGTGACTGGTGGTGCTGTAGCTGTGGTCTAGGTGACTGGTGGCCCTGTAGCTGTGGTCTAGGTGACTGGTGGCCCTGTAGCTGTGGTCTAGGTGACTGGTGGTGCTGTAGCTGTGGTCTAGGTGACTGGTGGCTCTGTAGCTGTGGTCTAGGTGACTGGTGGCTCTGTAGCTGTGGTCTAGGTGACTGGTGGCGCTGTAGCTGTGGTCTAGGTGACTGGTGGCCCTGTAGCTGTGGTCTAGGTGACTGGTGTTGCTGTAGCTGTGGTCTAGGTGACTGGTGGCCCTGTAGCTGTGGTCTAGGTGACTGGTGGCTCTGTAGCTGTGGTCTAGGTGACTGGTGGTGCTGTAGCTGTGGTCTAGGTGACTGGTGGCCCTGTAGCTGTGGTCTAGGTGACTGGTGGCCCTGTAGCTGTGGTCTAGGTGACTGGTGGTGCTGTAGCTGTGGTCTAGGTGACTGGTGGCTCTGTAGCTGTGGTCTAGGTGACTGGTGGCTCTGTAGCTGTGGTCTAGGTGACTGGTGGCGCTGTAGCTGTGGTCTAGGTGACTGGTGGCTCTGTAGCTGTGGTCTAGGTGACTGGTGGCCCTGTAGCTGTGGTCTAGGTGACTGGTGGGTCTGTAGCTGTGGTCTAGGTGACTGGTGGCTCTGTAGCTGTGGTCTAGGTGACTGGTGGCCCTGTAGCTGTGGTCTAGGTGACTGGTGGCCCTGTAGCTGTGGTCTAGGTGACTGGTGGCTCTGTAGCTGTGGTCTAGGTGACTGGTGGCTCTGTAGCTGTGGTCTAGGTGACTGGTGGCTCTGTAGCTGTGGTCTAGGTGACTGGTGGCTCTGTAGCTGGGGTCTAGGTGACTGGTGGCCCTGTAGCTGTGGTCTAGGTGACTGGTGGCCCTGTAGCTGTGGTCTAGGTGACTGGTGGCCCTGTAGCTGTGGTCTAGGTGACTGGTGGCTCTGTAGCTGTGGTCTAGGTGACTGGTGGCTCTGTAGCTGTGGTCTAGGTGACTGGTGGCTCTGTAGCTGTGGTCTAGGTGACTGGTGGCTCTGTAGCTGTGGTCTAGGTGACTGGTGGCTCTGTAGCTGTGGTCTAGGTGAATGGTGGCTCTGTAGCTGTGGTCTAGGTGACTGGTGGCTCTGTAGCTGTGGTGTAGCTGACTGGTGGCGCTGTAGCTGTGGTCTAGGTGACTGGTGGCCCTGTAGCTGTGGTCTACGTGACTGGTGGCCCTGTAGCTGTGGTCTAGGTGACTGGTGGCCCTGTAGCTGTGGTCTAGGTGACTGGTGGCTCTGTCGCTGTGGTCTAGGTGACTGGTGGCTCTGTAGCTGTGGTCTAGGTGACTGGTGGTGCTGTAGCTGTGCTCTAGGTGACTGGTGGCCCTGTAGCTGTGGTCTAGGTGACTGGTGGCCCTGTAGCTGTGGTCTAGGTGACTGGTGGCTCTGTAGCTGTGGTCTAGGTGACTGGTGGCTCTGTATCTGTGGTCTAGGTGACTGGTGGTGCTGTAGCTGTGGTCTAGGTGACTGGTGGCTCTGTAGCTGTGGTCTAGGTGACTGGTGGCTCTCTAGCTGTGGTCTAGGTGACTGGTGGCCCTGTAGCTGTGGTCTAGGTGACTGGTGGCCCTGTAGCTGTGGTCTAGGTGACTGGTGGCCCTGTAGCTGTGGTCTAGGTGACTGGTGGCTCTGTAGCTGTGGTCTAGGTGACTGGTGGCTCTGTAGCTGTGGTCTAGGTGACTGGTGGCTCTGTAGCTGTGGTCTAGGTGACTGGTGGCTCTGTAGCTGTGGTCTAGGTGACTGGTGGCTCTGTAGCTGTGGTCTAGGTGAATGGTGGCTCTGTAGCTGTGGTCTAGGTGACTGGTGGCTCTGTAGCTGTGGTCTAGCTGACTGGTGGCGCTGTAGCTGTGGTCTAGGTGACTGGTGGCCCTGTAGCTGTGGTCTACGTGACTGGTGGCCCTGTAGCTGTGGTCTAGGTGACTGGTGGCCCTGTAGCTGTGGTCTAGGTGACTGGTGGCTCTGTCGCTGTGGTCTAGGTGACTGGTGGCTCTGTAGCTGTGGTCTAGGTGACTGGTGGTGCTGTAGCTGTGGTCTAGGTGACTGGTGGCCCTGTCGCTGTGGTCTAGGTGACTGGTGGCCCTGTAGCTGTGGTCTAGGTGACTGGTGGCTCTGTAGCTGTGGTCTAGGTGACTGGTGGCTCTGTAGCTGTGGTCTAGGTGACTGGTGGTGCTGTAGCTGTGGTCTAGGTGACTGGTGGCTCTGTAGCTGTGGTCTAGGTGACTGGTGGCTCTGTAGCTGTGGTCTAGGTGACTGGTGGCTCTGTAGCTGTGGTCTAGGTGACTGGTGGCCCTGTAGCTGTGGTCTAGGTGACTGGTGGCCCTGTAGCTGTGGTCTAGGTGACTGGTGGCCCTGCAGCTGTGGTCTAGGTGACTGGTGGCCCTGTAGCTGTGGTCTGGGTGACTGGTGTCTGCACGTGACTGGTGTCTGCACGTGACTGGTGTCTCTATCGCCGCGTAGTTCTGGCCACCTGACTCCCGCGCAAGGTGAGACGACTCGGAGACGACACGTGCCCGTGACCGACCAATCAGAAGGGGAGACCACGTTTTGGCGGCAAAAGCGCGGCGGCGCGAAGGCTCCGCGTCGACGTGCAGCGCCACACTGACGGCGGTGGGCGACGTCCGCGCAAACAAAATAATCCCTGCGCCACAACACATTGTTATCACTTGCGATTTCGGAATTGTTTTCGTTTTTTGTGTGTGTTTGTCGGGTCGCCGCCGTGGCAGCTTGTCCTTCCACGGCTGTAAGATGAGAATGGCTGTGTTTTTGCTGAAGCGTTCGGTGTCGCGACGCGCGTGTATCCGTCCGCGTTCACGTCGTGAGGAGACAACGCCGCCGCTTCTCACCTATCCCCTGCGTCGTCGTAGCCTCCACGGCACTCAACGCCAAGTAAACTCGCTTCATCTCCGTCGGAACTCGCGCCTTTCTTCTCGGTACGTGGCATTCGCGGGGCATTGTGACGTCGAGTTTCAGTGATCGATGGAACAAATTCCCCCGACTGCAATGGGTGGAATATTTCACCTCACGGGTTCACCTCGCGTGAGCCGAGGCGCCTCCGCTCGCGAGGTGGATGTGGGTTGAGCGTTATATTTGACGAAGCTTTTCGACGGATAGATAGACTAAAACGGACGGGCACAATATACAAAAGGATGTCCTTAGGCTATAATGGAAAACTAATTTTTTTACAGGTTATGTAATGGAGAACGGAGTGCTTATAACTTTTGGTGAAAATGGAATATCTGGACATGCCGTTTTCCCCAATGTAGTGAATATACTGAAATGCCATTTTCCTCACATTTAAGTGTGGTTTTAAGTAATTTAGTTTAATCTAAATATTATACAATCGTTTTATCAATGTATTTATACTGGAGAAATCCGATGAGCTGTAAAGCTCTTTTTCACAGATGTCCAGTGGGAGCGGGTCAGAAATTAGGTTTTCGTATCCAAGAAAATCATTTAATCTCGGCATACTTTTTCACAAAGTTCCTGTTTTTTTAAGTGATTGTTTCTTTTTTCTTAAAAGAGGTTAATGCTAAAAACGTCCGCTGTATAGCCAAGGTCACAAATCCGCTCCATATGCTGTATCACCAGCCAACACTTCTCAACCCCAGCAGAGTTTGAAGTGTCATACTGTATATCTCTGATCCACCACCCTTTAGTCACAAATCTCCGATCCACAACCCTTTCATCACATCTCTTGTGATCCAGCAGCCCTTGCGTTACAAATTGTATACACCAACTCTGTCGTCACAATTGTCTGTGGTCCACCAACCCTTTCCTCCTCCAAACTACTAAATCATAGGTGCTGAATGCCAAAGCAAGATTTGAAGTAGCCGTGGTTGGTGGCATGAGGCTCCTGCATTGACAAGCATATACTGCACATGCAGTCACACTCGCACGCTCATTAGGACACATTCACGCATAATTTCGCACAAGCGCACACTTCCATAGTAATATTCTAATACCATGTCTTAACGTAAAATGGAAATGCATCACTATGTTGTGACATTACTTTGTAGATGAATATGAATCGTGATTTTTGGTTGACAAGAAATTGTGTTTTCCCGGGCCAATCTTTTAAACAAACTTAATACTGTACAATTGAGAATGCATCCCTGGTGATGAATAGGTACGTGGCATGTAAAATGTTTTGGCTTTGGAACGTGTGAACAGGTCGGCCCCGTAATTATTGATTTGAGATGATGTGAGCTGCGGTGTATTTGTGTGTGTTTGTGTGGTGACGTTGATTCAACTCGGGACACGAAAGCGATGGCAGCGGCTGTGAGGAGAGAAGCCGCCAAGAGCCGTGGGGCCGTGCAGCCCAACGTGTACGACTTCGAGACGCAGGACAACTTCCAGAGCGGCGACTTTAACGGGGACCTGCAAAGAGGTGCTCCCAGAGGTCCGCGTGGTCTCTGGAGCACTTGGGGGGTTTCCTCAGGGTCATTAAGCTGAGGTTCTTGGGTTTGATCATCGACTTATATAATGTTATTCATATATTTATGTACGGAGAGTTCGAAAGGCTGTTCATATAGTGGGGGGGGGGGGGGTTTAAGAGAGTTCTCGGTCATCTTAATCTACTGAGAGCACTTATGGACCTCAGTGTACTTAAATTTGTTGTAGTTGGAACAAAAAATATATTTTATTGGTTTGCAAAATTCTGCTTATTTAAAAAAATTATAGTCATGTCATATAACTTACTATGTAGATTTTTTATTTATTTTATATGTGAACGTTTTATTTTTGTATTAGCTCCACTAATAGCAATTTATGTTTAATTTTGTGATGGGCCATGTAATGATCTGACTAAATAAGTGTCTTGAACCATCCCCCAGCCAACGCAGCCAAACCATTAAATTGTCACGTGTATATTTTGAAGCTCAGGATCTTTTCCCAGATGATGTTTGGCATATTTCCAAACGAAACATAGATATTGATAATTTGGTTGTGAGAATTGCTGTTCAACTACTGGACATCTGTGAACAAGCTTTATAGCTCATCGCACCTCTGATTAGCACAGTTTGCTATGTTGGCTACGTACTGTGCGAAAGAAGTTCAACATACATAAAAAAAGATTCTGACTTACCGTAGAGCTGAAACTAATAATTGGCATGTTAAACCATTTGTAAATGTGACGGCTACATTTTTTTATTCACGACACATTTGGTAGAATCAATAAGTGGCCTCACCAAAAGATATTTTGTGAATCATGATATTGAATACGAATAGTCATGTGAAAGGTTCCACGAACAGTGTATGTATAATTTGCAGATGTACGTATGCATCTGTTTCCCATCATGATGTGTATGTATAGCACTGACATGCTTGATTCAAGTTTCAATTACGTTATGTGTGTTTGTTTCACTGATAATGCCTTCAAGTAATGTGTACCGTGTATGTTTCCCTCAACCTTGTGCAAACACAGATGAAAAGCCACAGGGGTCATCACGTAAGACACAGAAGCGAGCGGCTCCTGCGCTTGTGCCTGACGTGGCGGAGCCAGACGAAGAGACTGACACACTAGAAGCCAATGTCGGGTGTGCTACACTCACACCCATACAGACTAGGCGGACAGAATAAGCTATTTAAATTGGTCATATTGAGAGGTATAGCAATGAATTGTAATATGGTTTGCATGGGCAGGTAATGTGATGTTCTCCAAAATTCTGGCTTCTTTGCCCATTGAGGTGGGGGAGATGGATAAAGATGGAGCTATAATACATGACAAATATATACAATTAATGGTGGCGTTTTGTTGAAAGCTTTACAATAAAATATCACAAGCATAAAACCATTTTGTAGATGAGGTTCAAAATGTCGCACTTGAAGAAGAGACCTGCTTTTAAAGTATGAAAAAGGGAATGCACCTAGGTAGGTGTTATAACTTAATATTATCAGAGAATTGGGATCAATTGGAACAAATTTAGTGGATCTATTTAATGTGTTTATAGAAAAATAAAATGCCTCAATCATAAAATGATGCCTCTAATTGTATTATAAATGGTGATGAAATTGACTTAAAGAATACATTCTCTTCTTCACGATATAAATATTCATGATGGTCATTGGTAACAGTATTATTGAACCACATGAGCAAGTTGGATTTAGGCAAGGTTTCTCTACAATTGACCACATACTACCAATCGGTAAAAAATGATGGAGTCCTCTAAGCTCTCAACCAAAGCCTAAATACAAATAAATTTTTGAACCTATTATTTACAAAAATGGAATCGCTGCATTCAGAGTGCATAATAAAAGTAGCACATTACATATTAGAAGAGGATTCAGACAATGAGATAGGCTTTTGCCATTATTATATACAACATGAGAAGATATTTCCCTAAAATTGTATAGGAGAAATAAATGCGTAACAATAAGCAGAGAAAATATTAGCCATTGCAGTTTTTCTGATGGCATAGTCATTGTACAAAGAAATGTAAATTAACTACAGGAAAATATAGAAAAACTTAATAAACAAGGCTGCAAAGTGGTTCAAGATAAATCGACACCTGAAGAGGGACAATACTTGAAAACATTAGAATATGTGTATATAGGGCAGTGATTGATGGTGGATTGGAATCAGATTTATAAAATGAAGATGCCAATAGCTTCATAGAGGTTAAATCCAATTATTAATGTTGTTGAACCAGAACAAACATAGTTTCATTGTGGTTTAATCTTGGTCTTGTTATAAGTTTGAGTTTTTTGTGTTGCAAGTTGTGAAGTACAGTATTTTACATGGTTTAAAAATTGTGCTTGTATTACAGGGGAGATGTGCAATCGATGCTGGAGCGATTTAGCTGTAAGTATGCCTGGTTTAATTTAAACATGGAATACATTTCTATTATTTGAAGATATTACCAAAATCTAGATGCCTCCAGTGGACTAAAACCATCAAAGCTTTAATTAAAACAAGCAACCTGTGGGCATAACATTATTTATCTGCTAAAAGCAATGACTAGATTAATTTTAGAATGGAATAAATATATTGTCATGTAGTCTCCTGTAATTAAATGCAAGTGCGCTAATATATTAAATCAACGGGACTTTATAACACAGTATGCATATAAGCCATTTAAATATTCATCTCCCTGCAGGTCAATGAATTGTCACAATTTGAGTCATGATTCGACTCGAATATTTTTTTGCCCATATAGTTCAGTGGAATCTGGTAGTTTGCAGAGTTTCAATGGACCTCCAGCTGTTTTTTCTAAACAAGTACACTCTAGACCACAGTCAATTATAAGCCAGATTCCACACATTTTTATTTTATAAATGAACAATTCTAATATAAAATGTTATTGTATGTGATTGGGTCAAGACCTCACTACAGTGTTAAAATCCCTGTCATAACACCACAACAAGACTTTGATGCTATGGTCGAAGCCCACAAATTTGCTCCACCATAGCATGCCCTTCAGGATCTTTTCACATCAGCCATGATCTTATTTCTGCAAAAATAGGCAGAGTTGTAGATGTAAAATGTCAGTTTTCTAAACTAGTCTTAAATGAATAGCTATGAGGATTGCAGTTTACATTTTCTATTGTAACTTCAAAACTTTTTACCTATCCATTGTCATTGAGGTAAAGCGCCTTGAGATCTTGGAAAGGCAATATATAAGCCGTAAATATTATAATTGATCAAATGTGTGAATTAGTATAACTGCTGCGTCACCTATAACTCGACAAGCGTCGCTGAAATTGAACATGGGTCTATTCTACTTTTAACACTCGTGATCCCAAATTGGGCAGTACAGTGAATAAGATATGATACTGAGCGTTAGGCTTGCTCATTTTTTACCACACTTTTCTCCTCTACAATGGCCACCATGAAGTGCTCCATGGCCACCATGAAATGCCAAAATTGCCCCTTGGAATATTATGCATCCCCTGCCTCAGCATAACGCATGACCACCTGAAGCACTTTGGACTTCACTGTACGGCTTCCTAGCACCCACCCAAGTGCCCCTCAGTTGCAGTTCCTGGAAAGGAAGTTGAGCTATTTAGCCAGTTAATCATGTCAGGTGCCTGACAGAAGGGCCTACCCCTGACAAAGGTCTGTTTCCCAGTGGGCTTACAGATGTAGGCCATGTGAGTGATTGACTCATTTAAAGTCTGATAAGATGGGTTCTGAAAGGCAGAGCCCTTTAAAATTGGCATGCCATGCCAGAAGCCTCTTAAGGGTGAGGTCGAGCAGGATCATGACAATCCTATAAAAAAAGCCCAGGTAAAAAAATTGGAAGCTTTAGCAAAAATCCCTCCCTGCTACCCTTGGCAGCATTTATAGCATAGCTAGGCCTATGGATTAGGCTAGGGTTAGGGGCCACAATTACAGGTAACATCTCGTTTTATGGGTCTGAAGGTTACATTGTTATCACAAATTATATACTTCCGAGGACAACCCATGATACAAAGCAGAATCAATGCTTTCACTTTTTTAGTAGTATAGCAATGTCAATGACAGTGATGTTTTGGGAAATAGTTGTTCAGAACAGAAAAGGCACAGGATTATGACGTTTTCTATTTTTGATGCATCACTTGGTAAACGTCTCCAGATATGTCATTACCCTGCTGACGTTTTGCTTTTAATAAGAGTCAATGCTTGAACTGTTTGCCTCCCACTTTATATATTTAATGTATAAAAATATTACATTAATTTCAGCCTGTACATTGATACCACTGTCAATGCAGTGCCTGGATTTTTTTTATTGTTATGGGACATTTCGACTTCTGGATTGGTTGCACCTAAACACGTGGGTTCAACTGATGTTACATAGGGGTTTGTTTGGCTTGCTTATCATTTATCTCCCACGGAAGGATGAGGGCATATTTTCCAACATCACCATAATTCGCAGGGTTTTAGCGCAAAAATATGAGGGGCAGTAGAGTTTAACTTCACATTTTCTGTCCCCATTGACTTTTTTCTCCAAATAAAATATTATGTTACTCCAGATTATTAAGATTTATCCATGATCCTTTTGATTACAGTACAACTTTATCAGTTGTTTTGGTGGTACTATCCCCTGCCACCCTGTTCCCCTGGGTGATTTCCAATCACAGAGGAGAATGTCATAACTACTTCGGCCTCTGTTCTTTTAGCCTGTATAATGACATACACATGCAAAACACATTTCAAAACATGCATTCCATTAGGCAAACTGTAAAAGTAAATGCTTGTTACTAGCTTCATTGTGACAATATTACGGAGTTTAGCATCAAGGCATTTCTTATATGTGGCAAGTCTCAAATAAACTGGTTTTACCTATTACGATTAGGTAGTCATTTAACATTGGGGAAAAAAACTCAAACTTTATGATCGCTGGACTGATGACCAGTTAGCAAAGTAGTGTTTTACTGAATTGCCAATGTCCCCTTCAGCAGAACATGGTCTGCATAATAAACATGTATTTCATGGTTAAAGACAGAGTGCATATCAATAAATTACCCTAGGTTGTGTATCATGAGCTGCTGATGTACTTTTGAAGTATGGTTTACTGAGGGAAATGCATTTTTGAGTGAACTTTTGAGGGGTTATGTCCTTGAACATGTCGAAACATCACATTGTTGCAGCTGATCTATGTAAAAAGGTAAACGTCAAAGTTGAAATTGCAAAAGATGCTCTTTCAATGTTTACAAACTTGGCTATTCTTTAATGCTGTACAAAAATGCATCCTTGAAATCTTAAGAATGATCTACATCAATGACAATGCTCCAGAAGAGTTGCTCTCGATATAGCTTCCAACAGAAAGAGCATTTGCATTGCTCTAACGACACGGGCAGTGCATTTTGATCATCATTTCACTTTGACTCCAAAAACTTGATGGTGCCTAGCTTAAATCAAGCTGGGAACAGATATATAAAATGAAAAATGGTCTTGCAGAAACTGATTTTATCTTCAACTCTTAAGAGGGATTGGTAGTTATATTTTTTAAAAATGTGCACATGTTTTTAGGGTTATTTTAAAGGGTTGTTCCACTGTGATCAGTGCATTAACAATTATCAAAAGAGTATTTCTGTGCTTGCTGCATGATTTTGAATGCTAGCGGACATCAGCAAAGCAGTGCAGGCTAAGAGAAAGCGACTGGAGATGTTCACAAAGGCCTCACTCAAAAGCAGTAACCAGAAGATAGAGAGCATCTGGAAAACACAGCAACAGGAGAGGTAACCGTGGCCTTATTTCCAAAACCATCGTTCATCTGCTGGGCAAATCCAGTGTTGCAGTCGAAACGTGAGAATTTTATTGTTTTATATATATTTTTATTGTTTCCCTTCAATGTGACTTTATTGAAAGAACCAATAATATAAATCCAGTACAGTTTTAGGATTACCAGCCAGGTATTTCGATGTTAGTGTTATGATTTCAAAATTGACATGGCTGGTGCTTAAATTCTACATTGTTGTATATCTTTATAGTGGAGAATTGCCTTCAAAACCAACTTTGAGTAATGTATCTTGAAATTCAGCAGGGCAGTTTTGTCAACTGATATAATTCAGCAGGCCAATGTAAATCCAGGGTGACTCAGGAAATGTTTTTGCCTATGGGGTGTGATTTCGGTCCTGAAGAGTGACACATCTGTGGACCTGTGATTTTGCTAGAACCATATCGAGATGACATTTGATCAGAAATGGTATTGAGACTCCTGCTCATTGTGTATCATGCCCATATTGCACAAGCGATGCACTCTTTTGCTAGAGGAGACATAACCTTCCCAGATATAGTAATATAATAGATTTCCGGGTTGTTTGACTTGGTCTATAGAAACAGTACAGCATGTGACCAAGCTGATCCACTGACTAACCATTGCATGCACTGGGTATGTGTCAAATTCAATTGAGATCAATGTAAGCATGCAGCTTGACAGTATATTTGCCACTGTTTAATTAAAAAAAATACTTCATGTTTTTTTACACATTGCAGGCATAACGTGAGCGAAGAGTTTGGCCGTCAAATCTTTGGAATTTTGCAGCAGTGGGAGAATGATATCCACAAGACCAAGGATCAAGAAGAAAAGCTCATGGTGAGAGTACAGGGATGAGGGAGTGGGTACTTAAAAGTTATGTTTAATTGCTAATCAGTAAAATTGTTTAAAAAAATGTATGAGTCCTGATTATTTCCACTGAATCTTAAATTGCACACTGGATTTAGCACATCACGAATACAAAACAGGTACATTTCGCATGTGTTTAATGCATTATCATTTTAATAATAAATCTATTCAGGATAGCTTATTGAGTTTCAGGAATTTTAGTGCAGTCCTATTTGGATTGCGTGGCCCGCATACGACGTAAAATCACCGAAACTCCACCCAGATTTTTCAGAGGCCGAATTGCTGTGTTTTCTGTTAACGGCACACAAAATGCTCTACTGATGACTATCATCTTCATATCCAAACAAAACCCTGCTTATTCTCTCATTGTCATTCACATGCGTTCTGATTGGTAGCAGCCAACGCCTTGCTTCCCCCCCTTACATCACGTCCAGGGAGGGGGGAGGGGCTGCGTGGGGGGGCAAAGTGGACACGGAGATGGGGGCTTAGGGGACCTTTGGGGAGGCGCGTGGGGAGGGGGGCATATCCATTGTGGGGGTAATTAAGAGTTGCACGGGCGGGGGAGGGGATGTTGCGGTAGGGGCGTTGCTCAGTTTTAGATTTGAAGCTTTCGTGACTGCAAGAATCCATACTCTTTGGTTCTATTGTTATTTTATTTTTACCTACGTGACTTTACCGAATAGAACCAAAGAGTGCGTTGCTCAGTTATGGGTACTTGTACGAGTCTTAAACATAAAAATAAGCATGTGAATAACCATTCCTACAGCTGATAGATTGCAAACCTGTGTCGTCAAACTTTAGAGTTAACTTGGAAATGTAAGGAGTAACTGGTATTTGAAATATAAATTACCAAAATTATAAATTGAGTTGTACATTTAATAAAGCAGCAGAAACATTTTTATGGTTGGAAGGGTGGAAGTTGGGGATCAGCGTTTTACTTAAGTGTAACCTGAAGAGTCTACGAGCTTTCAGCTGTCACAGTTTTAACTACTGCAACCCTGTATACAATTCCAGACCTACACATCAAAGAGCTTTGCACAGATACAATTACGATTGAAGGCTATGTGATATCTTAAAATAAGATGTGCACTTGGGCGATGTGTCCCAGGTTATTAGACATGCGTTTGAAGCTCGTCTATATTTGCCAGTCCGCAGTAGACTTTTTGATTTCTTGGACCATATGAATGTAATTTTTGTATCTGTCTTAAATGCCTATAGTCTAATACACAATCATGCAAATGCTCTGTGATCATGTGCACAATATTACGTGTACTTTTTATTTTGGAAAACACTTTTGTGAAGAATTATAGGTGTCTGTGTCTTTAAGGCGAATTGCTTCCCCAACTATAATATACTGTTGTCAGGTAAAAAAAATATGCACTTGGCCATTTAATTATGGAGCTTCTTATGATGCACATAAATACTGGAATATAATATGTAAAATACTGCCATGGTGTCATGTTTAGCACACTGGACTTGCAATCCAGAGTCATGGATCTGATTCGATCTCTGAGCATGGCAGTTGAAACAATGGGCACGTTTCTTTAATCCCCCCCCCCCCCCACCTGTCTAGCCAGAAATATTCTTAAGTACACCACAGTCGATTGGCAGGTCACGTGTGGTGGGGTAAAGTATTGGTACTCCCTCTCTTCCAAGATGTCTGGCCAGTGTGGAAGATGAGGTCACAATACCGTATAAGGTGGCTTTCTAGAGCTCCCTCTATTGAAGGCCCTCCCACCAGGAGTTATGTGAGCAAGCGATTGCAGGGTTGTACTTTTGCAATATGGTAGCAAACGATATGCGTTGAAGGGAAAGTTGTATTGTTGGGTTATGCTGATGAGGTTTAAAATACAAGGGCAAGGTTGATGGAAATTTAATGGTAAATTATTTTGGGAGTGTGATCGTTGGGTAAGGGAAGAAACTATTGGATGGAAGTGGAACTCGGACTGATAAGGGGAGAGGAGGTGATAGGTTGGTCTATGTGGAGTCTTAGGAAGGAACTTCACCATAACATTTAATGGAAATCTATATTTCTTATCTTCCTGTATAATAAACAAAAAGATGTGCATCCTTTTGGTCACAGTGTAAGGGTATTGTTATTTTACCAAGGCTACTTCCTTGTGCCACCCATTCCTAACCCTTCACGGGACTGTAACCGAATGCAGACTGCATTCAGAAGCACAAGGCACTTTTGTTTGCATTGTGTTGTGGTTTTGATTGGAAATCATCCAAAGATCCTACAGTACAGCCCTCCGACAGTACAGCCCTCCGGGCTGAAGAACAGCGTGTGTGCACTAAAGAATAGGTCAATGCTTGACAGGTCGGGCGGGGTGCCACTGAGTGGGCTGGGTTGGGATAAGGGCATTGGGTACATGGTTCCATTAGGCTGCACTGCAAGTGCGAGGGAAAGATGGTGTACATTGACGAACTGATGTGTTTTGGTAACATTTTGGAGCCTTCGTGGTGTTAGAATGTAATTGGTTGTGGGGGCTGTGTTTAATCTAGAGCATAGAGGGGTTTTGAATGTCCAATACATGCCTTCAGAAAATTGAAACCACACGGATAACCCTGTGTACTCGTGAATTGGCATTCACCACAGGACAAATTCCAGTTTTACTGTATTCTCAAAAAAAATGTGGCCTTCATTTGTGCACAACAAAAAGCTTGGGAGGAATATGTATCGACACTGTACAGATTAAAGTTTGTGGACAGTGGATGGATTGTTCATACCCTGGATGTTTACTGTTTAAATCCTTTAAAATAAGTTTCATAGGAATTGAACGATAATTCACTAAAACCTTAGTTAGCCGGATTTCGCACTTGGCCAAACAAGTTGCACTCTTGTAAATGAGACCATAACACACCAATACCCTAATCCCACTTCTGGCTTGCATTTTTTTGCATCGGTGACCAGGCTGAAACCATTCAACTGGCTTTGCTTGAGAAACCAGTTTAAACAGTGTCCTCAGCACCTTGCACATGTAAGAGCAAATTAATGTAAACTTAAGAGCAATACGGAGTTGAGTTGGTGTCTTATTGCAAATAATGTAGTGGCGGCTGCAATGTGGCACATTATAGGTACATAGTTGACCATCTCCTGACTGTGTAGAACATGGTGCGGCAGCAACAGAAGCTGTTCCAGCAGACACGTGTGGTGCAGGCGCAGCGCCTCAAGTCCATCCAGGAGCTTCACGAGCGCTACATCAAGGTTCGTTCCATCGGCCAGAATTTCAAGTTTGTGTAAAGTTTTGTCATTCATGAGCTTAAAACCCTGCGATGTGTTTTTTTTTGTGAAGCACAAAGTTCCCCACATTTAGCATTACAGGATTCCAAGGCAAGTGCTGTTACGGTACACCAAACAATGGTACAGCCGGCACCACACTTAAGCCGCCTTTTATTTTCCCAGTGCTGATTATGAGTACACCATTATCGGTACCTATTTTTGGCTGAGTCGAACTTGGAGAGGCACAGATCACTGACATTGTAGCAGTATGCATGAATACTACCTGATTGTGAAGCATGAATGGAGCCTGAAACTTCTTGATCACAGGATCCTTTGTGAAAAGACTGACATTCCCATACGTGTGGCCACCCAATTGAGTAGGTCCAGCCCAGTGGTCATAAAGAATTCAACCACCGTGTGCAAATCCTCACGCACCCACCTAAAGTATACACCTACAAAGCACTTTTTTATTTTCCCAAGAATCTTGGAGATCATCCAATCCGCTTTAAAAGACAAACCTTCCGCATTGTACACTTTGACACCTCCTGGTGCTGGACTTGCAGCACCAGCCAAGGTTCATCCTCCAAAGTTGGTCAATGTTGGAGGACATATTGCTGTCACTTAAGTATCCACTGGTGACTAGCGCGAACTGCTGTGTATCTGTAAGAGGGAAAGGTTATATGTGCCTTTGTTTCCCGGCCCTCTTCTGCTCTCAATTACCAACTCTACCGTTTACTCCCCTAATGACAAAATGGAGCCCATCCCAAATTTACTGCTCCTGAAAAGTAATCTTCTCCTTGACTCTTTTCCTCTTTTTATTATCTACCAGAGCTGTCTCTTCCTCATATTCCATTTTTATCATCCTCAATTTTTGAGGTCCTGCAGTAAAAAATCCTTATCCTCATTAGGGTGGCCCTTAGAATTATGATACTTTAAGCCAATATATTTTCCCTTTTGTCCTCTTCCTTGTGCTCCAGCAGCTAGTAGAGTGCCACTTGAATATTTGTGGTCATGCGTCCTTTGGGTTCCCACTGCTAATTTCCTGGGGATTTTTCAAATGGAACACCCAATAATTGGAAACCAGTGGTTACCTAGGCCAGTGGTTCACAGCCTTATAGTTGTGAGCTTTTGTTTTCTTTATCAATTCAAATATTTTTCACGAAAAATCCCTTAAGACAGAACATCTGATTTGTAAGGGTGTCCTCGGTAACCCTGTTTACCCCCAACCAGACCTATCAACACCCAAATGCAAAGCTGCACTTATTATTAACCTGGGTGTATTCCACGAATGTAAAAAAATAAAAAAATGTTTTATTGCAACTGTACTGTAAAATAACAGGAAAATGTAATTCCTGTGTTCAGTTCCATAATCTCTGCACCTTGTTTTAAATTCCACGAGCGAACTTAGCTGTATACAGTCAGGTCTCAGAGTATGCTACGGGGGTTAGATTCCATGTACTCCCGCGTAAGCGCAAATTCGTGTAAGTTGGGGTTCGCCTATACGAGTGTAGAATATAAAATGTAAGAGTTTATCAAATGTATATAAATGCTTAATAAAGTACTGTACAGTAAATGATTTATTTGCTAATCTGTATATGATAAATACAAAAGGTGCAGGCTGGGTGGACTCGTTTCTTGCGCGGGCGATAGAGTTACACGCCATCAAATCCACATACGCGTGATGGCAGGGAGTGATTTGACTCCTCGCTTCCCGCCTCGTGCATGTAGCGAAAATACGAGTCACAAGTGTAAGTATGAATAGGGGTCAGTCGCATATGAGCGGGTCCGTGTACTCTGAACTCGTGTACTCTGAGATCTTACTGTAATGTTATAATAGAGTAATAATTCCAAAATAGTGTTTTATTGACCCATAAATAATATAATCAATTGTCATGATCCAGGTTTTAAATCATGAGGCTCCTACACTACCACAGGTAATCCTGGTTCCACTGCAGATTATTTAATATTCTAATTTCCAGGACTTGGAGGACCTGGAGGGTTCACACAACCAGCAGCTGCCATGTGTTCAGAGTGAACTGCGCAAGGATATGGCCTTGCTACAGAAAAAGCTGCTCATGGACACGGTTGGTTACACTTTCCACAAGCAATGTGACATCGACTTTTAAAAATAATGCTGTACTTACGCTTCACTGCTTATTTGATCTCTTCAGCTAACACTTATCCAGGCAGAAAACTACAGCACTAAATGCCTGGCCCTATCATTGGCATTTTCGCATTGAGTCACTGTATGAAATAGGGATACACTGCAATACACGTTTTAACACATTAGCTCTGTCTTTAGTGGAGGGGTGAAGATGACGCTCGTGAAGATGTAAATTAAATGTTATTAAAAAGTTGTTTTGCTAGGAGGGATATATCCTAAATACACCGGCCAAATTAATCAAAGAGATGTTCAAAACTTTTAAAATGCAGCGATAAATAGAAAAGACAAGGTTGATAACGTTACATTCCGTGCATGTGCACAACGAGTGAAATGATTGCATGTGACGACGTCTCATGACATTACTATCATGTCACGTCATCTTGCGATCCGGATCGAAACATAACATCAGCTGTAATGAATCTATTGCTGGATGAAGGTTTCCACGAGCTTCTGCCATCTCTCATACTGCTGCAATGTAACAATCCACCTTGCACCTGATTTGATTGCTCCATTGTCCCTCCAGGGTCGATAAAATAGTACCACTCTGGGGAAGTCAACAGTGGTGGTTGTCCTAAGGATAAACTCGCCTCTACCACAGGAATGGTGAAAATCCAACGTGGATTCAGGGCTGGAACCAGATGAGCACCAACCCCTTTGTCAATTCAATGCTAAAGGTGTCTTTCCACTGTGTCGGTCTTTGGGGTTGCATGACCATTCATTGCTACACTGGTCAGTGCAGAGAACTGATGGAGAAGTCTAGGACTGGTTCAGATATCACTCGGCACTGCTATCAGGCATGCATGCGGGAATTGAATGCAGATAGCAGGGATCATAGTACCGTACACAGGCCATTGCACCATTGGTCTCTCAAATAAAAAGCATTAGGAAGGTCTTTGAACTGACAGATATTCAACATAAATACAGATCACACTCGCATCTGTATTTCCAATTGAGTAATCGTTAACATTTACAGCACTTTTTCTCTTACAGGACTGTAATTAGTATGTAGACATTTAAATACTAGATTTGTCATGTAAATGTAATGTTTTGAAATATCTTCCTATCAAAATATTTTGGCCTCTCCACCCATACATATAGTATCGGGTTTTAAATGTTCTTTTCTATTTGGCAACACAGTATTGACATTATTAAATATATTTTGGAAAAATCTAGCCAGGAAGTCTCTTTGACGTATTGCGACGTTTTCAGGAAGGTCTTGCTTTTGGGTGTTCTTTTTGATTATTTTTGCTACTAACCAAGTTTGGAAATGATGAATCTTGTGACTCGCGTGTGCATCCTGTTGATGTGTGCAGCAACAGCAAGAGATGGCAAGTGTGCGCAAGTCTCTGCAATCCATGTTGTACTAGGTACGGAGAGGTGTGTGGAGAGCTACTGTGGCCAAATAACTTACCTCGCATTAACAACAAATGACTAGCGTGACATTTACATGAAATTCGATTGTTGAAATAGTAACGCTTATGTAGATAGATATAAAAAAATAACAAACATAGGGAGAGAAAAAAAATCCTGGCCTTATCTGTAGTGATTTGGACAAAGCATAGTTTCTACTGCAAGCTGAACCCAGAACTAGTCGGAGCTTAAATCAATCCCACAATAACCTCGAGTTAAAATCCACAAGTCGAATTGTGTCATGCTGGTAGTAGTAAAAATATATATACCTAAAGGGATTTTTGAGGACTGCAAGGTATTTTTTTTTTCCATTTGACCAACTTTGGGCACATAGCATCAACACATGCTCAGTACAGGTCAACATCATACGCACGTCCGCAGTATAGGATGCCGCCAGATGGCATTTGGATCCAGAGGAGTGGTCTGGTTTTTTTCTTATTTTGATAAACATAAGCTTCCCATGCCAGGGATAGTAACTGTTAAAGGGCTACATTGACCGTGCATCTAAAAATAATGCCTCCCATCACCTTGCCATTAAAGTTCTTATTTCAATGAAGGGTTCAGAGTCATGTTTTTACAATTACACTAAATAAAAAAAATCTATTGAAGCTTGACTAATTAGTGGGAGGCTCCTTCCATTGTTGGGGAATGACTGGCATACTTCAAATATATTAATTAATTGAATTATTGCCTATAATTACATTTACACACTTTGAACCCCCAGACCACAAATTATTCTACATAGCTCTGGGTGTCCATCATGGACATTCAGACATTTGTGCAGGGCATTCAATGTCACGATATTGGTTTGACACCAGGTCATAATGACCTGCAAAAGGTGAGTGTCTATGGAAGGCTGTGGTGCAGAATTTTGGGAATCCATCATATGCATGGCCTCATAAAAAATGCCTTTTTAACATCGATAAACAACTTCGCTAGGAATGCTAGACTACACTGGGCATGCTAGTGAGATATAGATGGTGGCAGATATATACACATGAGATACGTTCCCCCAAAATGCATACAATAGCTTTTATATACATGTACAAGCCCACTTCTCAGACATGCATACACTTGGCTTCATAAAATTTACAAATCGGATAGTCCAGCTCTACTGACCTATGGGTGCTGTTTGGAAATAACTTTTAAGGTTGGCACAATCATTTTTTGGTGTGTTGGGTTAGTGGTGGATTGCTTGCACCGCTGGCGTTGCCAGATTTTTCGACCCAAAGTCGAACCTGATTTTCAAAGACCGCATACAGTAACTCCAAACATGCACACACATTAAAGATCAAAGCATTATACACAAATTGACATGCTCTACTATTTACAGACAAATGTTGGTCGTACAGTATTTTGCAGTTTGTACTGTGCATTATTCAGAAGTCACATTGTGGACTCGTGTCTTCAGAATCAGAAGTGTATTTGAGCCAAGCAGCTCTTGAATTTTAAGTTTTTGGCCACATGCGAGCTCTGGCCCCGGCAAGTGAGAGAAGCGCTCCATTTGGAGACATTTCTCCAAAAATGAACACGCTGAACTGAGCCGTGACGTTTGTTCATGCAAATATTTCTCTTTGCTATTCAGGCTATTGCCATTTATGCCTCGCCTTAAATTTAATGTGCAGCTGCCTTTTCTAACAAAGTAAATGTTTGCTCGTTTTCAACGTACAAATCACTATGGCTATTTTACAGTTTTGAATGCCGCCGAGTACATGACCCTTCACCTCTCGGTCATCACAACCCATGCCACAAGTTCTGTTTCAAGTTTATAAAAGAATGCACAATGACTGCGGTCTGTTTTGAATTGATATTTATTTTAAATTGTTGTGGATAATTCAGCCATGTTTTGTGCATTTACAGAATTAAAATTGTATTGAGTAACAGCATGTCTGGACATGTGTAAATGACTTTGTTTGGATGTCTGCGTGTTTGTTCAGAACAGATTATATCGGCCATAAAATCAGATATCTTGGAACTGAATCACAGACTGTGTATGGTATCATTGATCAAGCTATCACCAGTGTAAAAAATCATGAATGTATGTTCAAGCCAGACTTTTCAAGAAGTAAAAAAACACCAATTGTTTAAAGAACATTTTCATTGCTAGGGAAATTAAGGTTACTGCATATTCCATACCTGCCTGGACATTAACACATCAAATTTAATTTGCTTTATTCCTTTGTTTCATATAGATTACTAATAAATTACATTGGTTAAGCTTACAGTAAATATACAATCCTGATCATATGGGACTCCACTGTCAGCCCATCGGATATGCAAACACCATGAGGTCCAGAATCAGATTTGTTTCCTATCAGTTTGGCTGTGATTTAATTTCATCAGACTTAAACTGTTTACCACCAGTTAACCACATTTATGCGTTATGGTGTCTTGTGCGCATCACTGCATATACACGTGTACATACCTGAAATGTTTGAGTTTACACACGCGTGAATTGGTGTTTCCTGTGCAGAGTATATTTATGGTGGTGTCCCATGTGTGAAACTGTACATGTCTGCAACTGCTCTATTTTTAGCAAGTCACCGTGTTTCGAAGGCAAGTAACAACTCGCCCCACTCACAATTTTTATTTGTTATTAAGCAGGATTGTGACTCGATTGTCACAATTTTGGGTCGTATGTATTACTTGTACTGAATTCAGTGCCTGCAGGGCTCATTCGCAAAATACAAAACAATCCATAATCGAATTAAAGTCATAGTTCATTACATGCCTACCTTATATAATGATTAACTTTGTAGTGTTTTTTTTCAGTCAAGTAATGTGCCCAAATAAGTGAACTTATCGGAATGCCTGTCCCGTTGTGTAAATTGTGTGTACACATCTTGTGAGTTTTTATGTATCCATGTTTTGCACATCTGGAGTGGGATGATGGTCGAGTCTATAACACATGAGTATAAACATTCTTGCACAATCCACAGGCTGAATTGATGGTGTCTGCTGATGTGCATGCACATGAGTGCTAGTGTTTTGAGCAGTGCAAAGGGTGTCATCCCCGGCCGCCGCCTCCACCGCCTCCGCCTCCCTGGTTGCCGGGGTCTTGCGCTCCCGACATTATCAAGAACAGCACTACGGGGATTATGTACATCCACTGCAAGAACACAAAACATGCAACATATCGCCATGTCATGCCAGTGAACAATAAATCAGCTGTGCCATAGCTCATTCAAGCTTTGCCCATGCCAATTACTACACTGCTCTTGGCTGCAATGGATGGAGCCTAAATGCAAGTTTAACTTGACTAGATGTTCAGATCGGAGTAAAAATACCAGATTAAAAATTGGGCCCTGGGAAAATTAAACTGTGCCACTTTGCTTTGCAATTTTTTGGAAAAAATGCAAACTCAAAATTGTGTTTGGCTTCTATTGCAATTTTCATTTCAACAAGAGTACACAGTGTACCCACATCCCCTAGCAATGTGGTCAACAAAATAAATGAAAAAAACGTGTTTTAAGAAATATTTTTATAATGTTGAAATGTGCGAGTTTACGGTCATGCACGCCAATCGCTTAGCCGTTCCTCATGAAAAAGATGTTAATGACAAACTATAGCTGACTCAAGGCTCTTAAAAGTTCATAATTTTAACACTTCCTCATTGTTCTAAGATGTTATTTGTTCCATCACGTGGCAGATATTTGTTTGAGTGTTTTCAAAAAGCATTTAGGTAGAAACGAAATGCAGAGTTTAAACATCAATCGATGTTCAGAATAGAATCAAGTACACTACTCAACCGTTTAATCGGCAAACTTGATTTTTTTTTAGTTTGCCAATTTAGAAACAGGTTATTTTATTTCTAAGATAACATCAAATGTTAGATTGAACGTGGTATGCATTACTCAGAAACTCTGAAGCCAGCTGTATCAGTCTAGATTTAGGGGAATTTATTAACTGGAGGTAGGGCTGAGCGGTGGTGTTTCTGACCAAATGTAAAACTTTTTAAAAGACATCACCATTTACCCTGACATACTGCAGTGTGAAGTGCTAGCTGGTAAGCCGCACGATGGAATGTTGGTGAAGCTACCATCAAGTATGCAGCTGCTTAAATCACCCCGAGTGCGGTGTTCGTTAACCGCAAAACCTTACCACCAATTGTCCATTTATACCCAGTCGATGTAAGGAAAGCCAAGACCAAAGCTCAGATATAGAATGCTACAAGCTTAGTGCATCGTAGCCTGAAATCAAATGAGGCTCAGTATAATCATTCTGTGCACTCACTATAATCGCCACCAAAGTCCTTCAATGAATGAAAACGAACAAACAAATCTCGTGTTTAGTCTTCGGAACCGTCAAAGCAAGTGTTGTTAGTGAGCACATACGCGCGCGCACACGTTCCCTCCACCGGTGATTATTGGCTCACGCACACCCCTGCACCTCCACCAATCATGCAGCACCACATTCTTAAATAGTGCACTATTGCATCAGTTTAAGGTTTAGTTTCAAATTGTCAGTAGACACTTCAATAGGGGGACAGAGTTGGATTTATATGGCTAAAAACACTTCACCGCCAAGAACAAATATTACTTTATAACGTTAAAATATGTATAACAATAAGGCAATGTCTCGTGCAATGGTCCCTCAGAGGACAAGAGACGGGTATTATCACAGTTAACATTTTACACCTATGTTTTCACCAGGAGGAAATATACTTTAAATTATATAAATGATGCAAACTTAGTCAAGTATGTCGAATGCGTTTCTACGCCACTGCCAATGCAGTCCCTTATATCTGATTTGCAGTTCAAACTGTACCAAGACTTAGGAAATATATATTTAACGTTGCAACTATGAGGACAACAAAATACTGCAAATCAAAAAAACCCTTGTTCAATGGTGGGAAAATTAGTTTTTTTTTTAAACCAAAAAATGTTACAAGTGCATGTTTTACAACTCTTAATTCACACGCAAGCACGGCCTCGCCAACAAATCAGATGGAGCAATTTGACCAAGGATAAAGCTGTGTTAAAAAAAAGGCAAACTTCAGTCTGCAGGGACCACCATCCCCCATCACATCATGATACTTGCAGAGAAGCTAGAGTCGTTGGAACAAATGCGAATATGAATCGTCTGGGAAGGTCTGGAGATCACTTAACGCAATAGTTTTTACTTTAACATGGGACCTTTCTTGCCAGTATCAAAATATTATCTGCATTAACCACACATACTTGTGAACATGCAAACAAGACATGCTCTCGTAATATATGGCATTGTCTTTTAAACTGATTGGTCTATAGCCGAGACAGCCTTCTTTAGGGCCTGGTCTCAACCAGTGTTAGACCAGAGAACGCCAAGAGACGAAAAGCCTTTTGATTGTGAAACTGAATGTGGACCAATCAGTTTCAAAGACACTGCCATATATTACTAGAGCATGTCTTGTTTGCATGTTCACCACAAGTACTGTAGGTGGTTAATGCAGACATGATTCCTGTTTGGTGTTTTAACATCTTAACACCTCCTGTTGTATTACCAGAAAGGGGCAAAACCTCTTCTGATAGATTTTACTTTCAAATATAACCATTGCCCACTTATTCTTGGTTCTTTCGGTAAAGTCACGAAGAAGGGAAACAATAAAATAATAAAAATATAAAACAATAAAATTCTCACGACGTTTCGCCTACAACACAAGCAATCATCATCAGGTGTGAAAACCACAGCAAGAAATTTTGAAATAAGTGGCGGTTTTTTTCTTGCTGTGGTTTTCACACCTGATGCTTATTGCTTGTGTTGCGGTCGAAACGTGAGAATTTTATTGTTTTATAATTTTATTGTTTCCCTTCTACGTGACTTTACCGAAAGAACCAAGAATATGAATCCCTGCAGTCACGAAAGCTTTAAATCAAAATTCATTGCCTACTTATTTTTTATTGCAATTTGTGGGGAGGAAAAAACAATGATTTGAGATATAATTCTGGGCATAATTTAACATCTAAATATATCTGAATATTCCATAAAAGGTAAATGACCCCTTATGAAACTAAAGTTCTATATATTCTCCAGAAAAGGTTTTGTGTACTTCAGCAAATTGTCATGAAAATGGATTACAAATATTAAATAATTAAAAGGAAATCGCAGTTAATCCATCTGAATATTGGCCCAATGCTTACTTGTACAGACCAATGGGTCAATGAAAGTTATTTCTCATCAGTAATCAAACTACAGATCTGGATAAACCTTTTATGTCTGCATGTTTTTTCTACAAAACATGAAACTTTTAGCATTGTTTCACCAACTCTGTGCAAAGTGTACCAAGAGGAGGGTTTCTGAAGATATATTCCTAGCCCTTCAATCATACCAGAGATTTGTATTTTACTAATGATCAGATTTGTGTCAAGTGCAACCACTTAAAATTTTCCCTTTTCAGAAAACAGGGAAATGTGAGACCTCAAAGAGTGGAGGGCATGTTTGTAATGGTTTTCAAAGACGCTTGCTGGATTGCAGGGTTTTCCTTACAATCTCGACACCATCACCGCTCACCACTGCCGCCACTTGCCAGAGAGGAACTCTGCAATGTTGTGTCGATTGAAGCTGTGTGACACAACACTCTTAACAGTGAACAAGGAGTTTCCCCCGTAAGTTAAGTTACGGTTCGTAAAGAAACCAACTGCACGTAGATTGCCAATGGGATTTTTTCTCAAGCCGCTATACGTGTGGCCAAAATTGGTGGGAGTATTTAACCTTTTTAAAATAAAAATAAAGTCCACGTACCTACGATGCTCAAATACATTTTGTACTAGACGGTGCTCATTGTAATGTTATGTTGTCCAAAGCCAATATAGATAAAATGTCAACATGCCTAACTGGAGAAACATAATTATTTGTTAATTATGCCTTTTTTAAAATGTAATGTTTATGCTTGTAAACTACATTATATATATACAAAACATTTTAATTGGAGTTATTTCTTAATTTGCCATTTACCTATCTTTAGTAGCATGTTGTAGCGCCAGTATTCATGTACATTAATTTCCCACTCGGGTCTTCCTTGCAAACATTTACACATTGCTTCAAGTGGGCTCCCACCTGGCTTATGATTTATCCATAAAACCCAAACGTGGACACAAATAACATTTGAAGCTATCAACAAATACAGATTGTGGATTTTACTTTTTTTTTAAACGATAATATAAAAGTTTAACATGTCTACCCCATCGCCTGTGAAGCCATCGTACCTCTAGGGCTGATCAAATGAGTAGCGCGTGACGCTATTTTAAACGCCTGGTCACCGCCAAAAATGTGGAAATGGGAGATTGAGCAAAAACCCAGTGCTCAGCTGTGTACAGGGACACCTGGAGGTTACAGGTGGAAAGACCAACAACTTGGTTCAACAGTAATATTGTGAGTTTAACACAGAGCAGTCGTAGGCTTTCACGACCAATATTTTGCATGAAGTTTATGGGTTCGATCGCGTATATAAAAATGTCGTTAAACCCGCCACCACCCAACAGCTAATTTGAGTAAGGTTTGTTACGTAAATAGAACATGCCAATTCGTTACGAGTAACATAAATCCACATTTACTCTCCACCACACGGGTGTGCTGTACTAGTAACGAATAAGCATGTTTGTTTACATGACAAACCTTACTAATTGGCTGTGTCGGGTGGTGGCATGTTTAACAAATTTATATTTACACGATCTAACCAAAAAACCTCTTATGAATAATATTGTGTACGGAAGATGAATACATTTAGCGTGGCTTTGACAGGAGGTCTATGTGTAAAGGCGTGCATATACGAGCATGCAATCGTGCACATACGTGTACATTTATTGTTACTCCCACTTGTGATCGTGGGTTTTTTCACTGTCGCTTACCCGGGCAACCCCATTTAAAGCATTTAAGTTACATTTATATTTTGCAAGGAAACCCCGAGTACTGGTTTAGTTACGTGAAGACAATCGCAACGTATGTGTTTTTTTATTCAACGTGTGATAATTTAGTTCGGAGGATTATACTACACACAATTCGGACTTGTGCTGGGGTGCCTGTGCCTAAAATCCATGAATACTTGGATTGCAGGGTCGGTGGACCACATGCGTGCGGATATCCACCTACAAGAACAGCAAGGTGCCTATATTTAAGGGAGTGCAGCAAGAAGGTATCTTTACATTTTAGCGTTACACCCTATTTGTACGTGTGGCCTTTGTTTTGGCACCCCAGCTCACTCCCACAGGTCAACAAGAGGACAAAAGTCCCCAGCATAAAACTGTCTTGAAGAAGAAGGGGGGGGGCGATATGAAACCTACGAGGCTTCCAGTGAACATATCGGACGTTTCACGTGTCGACTGTAGATGTAAGGCTGCTATCACCACGACCGCTGGCCAGGATAGATTCCCTGCAGGCCGGCTCACAAGCCCCACGCAGCAGCAGCAGCAACCCCCCCACCCGCCCGCCCCTTACAGGCACTCGCTCCATCCTCGCTCTGCAGCCATACTAGGCCTCCTCCGGGGGAGGCGGTGGTTTAACGGCCCCGGTCGCCATCAGTAAAACGGCACCGCCCAAAATGAGATGCCACTGAAGGGAGGGAGAGGAAAGGCGCAATGGATGGGGGGGGGGGTAGAATATGTGAGGGGGGGGGGGATATGGGAGGGGATGGTTGGGTGTGGTGATTGGTGGGGGAAGTAGGGTTCATGCAGGTCATGTGGTCAGGTCAAAAGGGTCGCAGGGGATGAGGGTCAAGGATTAGGAAATGTTTCAATGGTGGACAAGTACGAAGCTTCTGGAGGCTACTCAACGAAACATGAGTTTGTGTGCGTGATGGGTAAAGGTAAGAACGTGTGTGTGTGTGTGTGTCCTCGTTAGCAGGTGTGTCGTGCCGGGTCACAAATGTCTTGAGTATGTGAGAGTGAAGCGTGCCGGTTGTCGTGTTTACTTATTCATCTTTCAATGTTCACTCCTAAAATCAACTCCCCCATAATTTCATGCATTAAGCATGCATCTTAAAAGCTACGCCTTACTTGAGGATTATTGAGCTATACAACAAGGGACAAACTGACATCACACAATCTAGTCTGCGTTACAAAACCTAAAAGGTACTGCCCATTTAGACAAAACCTAGCATTGAACAAACACTGGCAGATGAATGCCATGAATGAGTGACGCATTCTAACAGACGCTACCCAAAATTACCTTGATCCCAGGTTTGATACACAATACCAAAGTACTGGCATTGATGTCTTATTAATACACGTCAGACTTATGGAATTGTGTTGTTGGTTACACATTACGTGCAACTATCGGTAACGATAGTCCAAAATACCTGCAGCTATCGCCCAGCGCTGAGTGCATCAGATGACTCGGTGAGCTCACAATGGCGATGTCAAAAAACCACTGAACCGGTGATGCTGAAATCCTTGAATCAGGACAACGGATGTGACCAAAGCAGATCGGCAAGAGTTGACTCGCGAATCTGATGTCCTCCAAGGGAATAATACACAAATAGGCTTTAGTTTTACAATTGAGCAATTTGCCGTTGTTACAATTGACAAAAAAAGCTCCTGTTAGAATATCTAAAGTGGAGTGCAGCCTGGGGGAAACAATTTGGTGCACAGTTGCCCCTGCTTCTTCGAATAGAGTCTGAGATGGCTGCCTTTGCCACACGATCTGAGCGACGTCACGATTGTGGTGTAATTGGTGATCTGCAATAATATTACATCGTTGGTGTCCGTTGCTTGAGATGATTAAAATGTATGAAAAAAAGGAATAAATTCTACCCCATCTGGCAATAAAACAGGGAGCGTTAAGATGTTCAAACACCAAATATAATAAACCTTTTGCAAGGAATCGTGTCTGCATTAACCACACACGGTACATGTGGTGAACATGCAAACAAGACATGCTCTGGTAATACACGAGCATTGTCTTTGAAACTGATTGGCCTACACCAGAGACAGCCTTCTTCAGGGCCTAGTCTCCAACAGTGTCAGAGCAGAGAACGCCAAAAAGTGACGTCACTATCAGGGCATTTATAACTTGGGGTATGAAAGTGCAAGAAAGTGTACAACAATACCGTGGGCTAATGTTTGTGATAGGTTGTTTGCAAGCACACAAGTCCACACCTGTAAGCACAAAGTCGTATAACAGTGCGTCTGTGAGTGCATAATTACGGGTTGGATAGTGTACACGGCCACACATTCTCAAACATCCACTCGCATGCACAACAACCCCCACCCCCTGTCAACCGCTGTGTCTGGAAGAGAAACATGATCATTATAAACATTCTTTGTGGTGCTGGTTCACACCTCAACAGGTGAACACAACGACTTAGGCGAACACGACTTGGGCAGGCGAACACAACAACTTGGGCAGGTGAACACAACAACTTGGGCAGGCGAACACAACGACTTGGACAGGTGAACACAACGACTTGGACAGGCGAACACAACGACTTGGACAGGCGAACACAACGACTTGGACAGGTGAACACAACGACTTGGACAAGCGAACACAACGTCTTGGACAGGTGAACACAACAACTTGGGCAGGTGAACACAACAACTTGGACAGGTGAACACAACAACTTGGACAGGTGAACACAACAACTTGGGCAGGTGAACACAACGGCTTGGACAGGCGAACACAACGACTAAGGCAGGTTAACACAACAACTTGGACAGGCGAACACAACGACTTGGACAGGTGAACACAACGACTTGGACAGGTGAACACAACGACTTGGACAGGTGAACACAACATCTTAGGCAGGTGAACACAACGACTTGGACAGGTGAACACAACGACTTGGACAGGTGAACACAACAACTTGGACAGGCGAACACAACAACTTGGGCAGGTGAACACAACAACTTGGGCAGGTGAACACAACGACTTGGGCAGGTAAACACAACGACTTGGGCAGGTGAACACAACGACTTGGACAGGCGAACACAACGACTTGGACAGGTGAACACAACGACTTGGACAAGCGAACACAACATCTTGGACAGGTGAACACAACAACTTGGGCAGGTGAACACAACGACTTGGACAGGTGAACACAACAACTTGGGCAGGTGAACACAACAACTTGGACAGGTGAACACAACAACTTGGACAGGTGAACACAACAACTTGGGCAGGTGAACACAACGGCTTGGACAGGCGAACACAACAACTTGGGCAGGTGAACACAACAACTTGGACAGGTGAACACAACAACTTGGACAGGTGAACACAACTTGGGCAGGTGAACACAACGGCTTGGACAGGCGAACACAACGACTAAGGCAGGTGAACACAACAACTTGGACAGGTGAACACAACATCTTAGGCAGGTGAACACAACGACTTGGACAGGTGAACACAACAACTTGGACAGGCGAACACAACAACTTGGACAGGCGAACACAACGACTTGGACAGGCGAACACAACGACTTGGACAGGTGAACACAACGACTTGGACAGGCGAACACAACGGCTTGGACAGGCGAACACAACAACTTGGACAGGTGAACACAACGACTTGGACAGGCGAACACAACAACTTGGACAGGTGAACACAACGACTTGGACAGGCGAACACAACGACTTGGACAGGCAAACACAATGTCTTGGACAGGTGAACACAACATCTTGGGCAGGCGAACACAACGACTAAGACAGGTGAACACAACGACTTAGGCAGGTGAACACGACTAAGGCAGGCGAACACGACTCGACTGGTGCGCCACGCGCCGATGACATCACCCCCTCTGTTCAAGATTGGCTGCTCACCCCAGTCAGCGGGGCCGCCGTAATCTCCAAGAGCAATATCACCAACAACAACAAAGCACTCAGACACCCAAGCGTGTGTCACCAAAGCGGGGGAGGGAGGGTTCCTCCTGTAGTGGCGACTGCGTGTTTATATAACGAAGGTGGTGACAAGCACCTCCACAAATGTTGCACTGCAGACTACGTAAGTAAGCGCATGTTGAACTTTCGCCCCGTACGTAGCCCACCGTGCTGATGTTATCGCAGGCGCCGCCGTGTTTACACAAGCTGCTGCAACAGGGCCCCACTGCGAGAACCGCTCTCCCAACACGAGCACTCCGCGGAGGCCCCGGTGTAGCAAGGGGCTGTCCATAAATGACGTCACGCGATTCTGGACGATTTTTGAACCCCTCCCTCCTCGTCACACGGCGTCACAAAAAGTCAGACCCCCCTCAAATATGACGTCACAGAGCTCATTGGAGAAAACATTTATTAAAAAGTCTATTTAATTAAGTAGAACGTGTTGTCTATATTTATTTAAATTTACCGCATTTTGATGCGACGTCACATTTCTCAAACTTCCCCCCCCCTCGTCACACATCGTCACAAATGTCTGACCCCCCACCTAGGTGCGTGACGTCATTTATGAACGGCCCCCAAGCCTATCCTTCTTGACGGACGTACCGGTGGAGGGGAGGGGGCGAAACCCGCACGGCTACCCTACACACGTAAGAAATGTAAACCGAGGCTGCAAGAGAGCGAGGCTTTGGAGTGGGCTATAAAGGACTCTGGAGCTGGCTTGTGTTTTCATTCACAACAGAACCATGTGCACTCTCGGACCCAAGCAGAATTTCGAGTCCTAATGGCAATGTGACTCCGACAGCCACCGCGATTACACCGCACGGAGAGACGATCAAGACGACGGTGCTCCTTTGACCGATCCGAGGTATATCTGAGATACACAGGGACGGCCAGTAACTTGTTGCAAGGAAGTACGTTCCAGACATCACGCAGATAGCGCACGATGCTCTCATTTAGCCCCCGTATTTACATTTTAATACAGAATGTAGAATTTCAAACGGTAATGAAGATGCCACATCCCTGTTTTAAAAATGTTAGGAACTAAAATCTTCTCGTGAAAGATGTGTTACCAGTGATACAAACAAATAAAAACAAACAATGATGGATGTGTATTTTAGATACAGCTCAGGATTCTTATTCATAATCTCCAGGACTTCATACAATCGTTGAAGGTTCAGCACACATTCAAGTTACTATTGAAAAACCCTAGCCACTAAGTTACTATTGAAAACCCTTAGCCACGAAGTTAATATTGACAAACCTTAGCCACTAAGTTACTAATGAAAAACTTTAGCCAAAAAGTTACTATTGAAAAACCTTAGCCACTAACTTACTATTGAAAAACCTTAGCCACTAAGTTACTATTGAAAAACCTTAGCCACTAAGTTACTATTGAAAAACCTTAGCCACTAAGTTACTATTGAAAAACCTTCACCACTAAGTTACTATTGAAAACCTTAGCCACTAAGTTACTATTGCAGTCACGAAGTCTAAATTGAAAAGCCTTAGCCAATCAGAAGGCCTAATGCTCAGACCACCCCCACCAACTTCCTGTTGCTTCTGCTCTCTACTCACGTTCCTTGAACAACTCTTATGAGACCTTATCATCACGCAACTCATGCCATGCCAACTATTATACTTTATGTACAATTGCATTCAGCATTCTTTCTAGCTTGTAGCTCCGGCAATCAACTTGGATTATGTTTAAAATGTGGACTGGGACATTTCCCGAACGGGAGCATCAAGGCAGTGGTGCGCGTGCGTGTCTACGTGCGTTCGCGCATGCATCTCACGTATTTGGCAAAGAACGACTTCTGCTCCTGTGGGTTCTTGGTTCTCTGCGCCTGCTCCTGCTCCAAGCGCTGTATGTACGACGCAGTCTCCGGTCTAGCGACAACACAATATCACCATCGGCACCATTAGCTCGCATGACACCGTCGTCGCGAAATCGGTCCAGAGTTTCGCTTCATTAAACAAATGCTGCTGTATAATGGTCAATCGAGCGACGGACAAAAAAATTAATTGTTGTGCATATGTGGGGGTCACGTTTCTCCACTGTTCTCTCTCTACAGGTGGGGGGAGGGGGGGGGAGAGAACGCTCACCCTAGCAGGACCACCGGCGTCGTCACGGTCAAGGTCGTGTTGAAGTTCTCCAGGTCCACGTCCTCAACCTCGTAGCCATGGCAACCGCCGGGCACCACCTCGAGGGAGATGCCAGCAATGGCGCCCACCGCGTCCAGGTGCAGCGTGAGCAAGTCCGACAGCTGGGCCTCCAGCAGGGCGCACTGGGCACGAGAGACGCGCGGCGCACGCAACGGCATATTTAATCAGACTGCAGGAGGAATCCGATGAGCTGTAAAGCTCTTTAACACGTAGGCTTTCGCGACCAATATTATCCATAAGAGGTTTTTTTGGGTTAGATCGCGTAAATATAAATGTGTCGTTAAACCCACCACCACCCGACACGGCCAACTAGTAAGGGTTGTCACGTAAACAGAACGTGGCCAATTCGTCACTAGTACAGCACACCGGTGTGTTGGAGAGCCAAGCCACAACATTTACTATCTGAGTACGACGTTTCGCCAGTAATTACAACTAGCTTCATCAGGCGACAGACAGATTTGTGGAGAAGTCCTCCACCTGTTTCGTTCCTTATATAGAGGTGTAGATGTGGTGACCACCCTTCTGTGCTCTTGCGCAAAGTGGGGGTGGGGGAGATTACTGAGTCAACGTACATGATGCATGTGCATTATGCGAACCCTTTGAGCTTGTCCTTCCTGTCTATTGTGTTTATTGAAATAGCCCTACCAACGGTAATCCCTATTGAAGTACGCTGCCCTTTGTAGGCATGCATTTAAATAATGTGTTATTTGATGATTCGCTTAGACGCAGCACTAAGGCGGTAGCTATCCGGTTAAATTTATTTTTACTTCTTTCAATTTCGATAGATTCTCTATTGAGTCTTGGCCAGTCGTAGTTAGTTTTGCACAGAACTCCAACATTATCAAAAACAATTGAGTGTCCTTGTTGGCACGCGTGTTCTGCTACTGCTGACAGTTGTATTTGGGATAATTTAATATTTCTCTGATGTTCTTTTAGTCTTGTGCTGATCATTCGTCCTGTTTGCCCAACATAACATTTACCACACGTGCAGTTAATCCTGTACACACCTTCTGTTGATAGTTTCGGTAATACATCTTTTGTACCAGATATTAAATTCTGTATTTTATGTACCGTGCCAAATCTTACTCGGATGTTTTGTTTTTCAAACATCTGGCTAGTTTATCAGTTACTCCTGCAATGTACGGTATTTTATCGTTTTAACTATTTGGGCAGTTTCAATGCTCGTGTTATTTGATTTGGTTTTGGCATTCAATGCCCTGTTGATTTGTGCATCATTGTAACCGTTCATTTGCAGCGCTTCATTAACATGTCGAATTTCACTTCTCAGACTGTCACCTTCTGACACTTTGTAAGCTCGATGAGAGCAGATTTCTGTGCGGGGTGATGGTGTGACTCTGCATTCAGATAGGCATCAGTATGCGATTTCTTTCGGTAAACACACACTGTGTGTTTACCATTTCGACTCGTCTGAGCAGAATATCCACAAATGGTAGAGTTCTGTCAGCTTCCATGGTGAACTGGATGGATGGGTTTTGCGAGTTGAGATGATTTAGAAATGCGTTTAGTGTATCTTTGCCGTGTGGCCAGACAACCATTGTGTCATCCACATATCCAAACCAAGCAGATGGTTTTAGCGTGCTTGAAGCTATTGCTTTTGTTTCAAAGTCTTCCATGTACAAATTCGCGACCACAGGAGACAAAGGTAGAGCTTATTGGGAGTCACATAGGGGGGTACTCACGGCTCTCACGAATGTGAAGACATACTCTGTCGAGCTCCCGTCTCCTCCCATGGGGATGGGCAGACGGATCCGGTACAGACCATCCACCTCCGCCACTTCCTGAAGACCGCACAGCGCAAAAGGTTACAGCGAATGGTATACGATACGCAGCGCAGCAGGGCCCACAGAGCAGTAAGTGTGTCGGGCAGGCGTTAAACGGCAGTCATTGCAGCACCTGTTCCACTACGCGTTACACGACGCCACCCAGTGAACATGTTTATATTACCCAGAGTTTATCGGAGTGTGCATTTATCTTGTATTTATCTGGCTATATAATTAAATTGATGTCTGTTTACCTATTTTGATATGTGCATATTGTGTATACATGTTAATATGTTTGTCTGGTTTGCAGTTTATCTGAATATTTGGTCATCTGGTTTTAGTCTATCTGGAAATTTGGTTATATGATTGTCTGTTTATATGGTTTTCAGTGTATCTGGATATTTGTTTACTGACTTTGTTTATCTGGTTTTTGGTTTATCTAGATATTTGTTTACTGTTTATCTGCTTTTCAGTTTATCAGGATATTTGCTGACTGACTGTCCACTTATAGTGGTGGTTGCGTTGGTTGCGGTAGTTGCATTGGTTGCAGTGTTTGCGGTGGTTGCATCACCCGTAGTTTGTTCCTCTCGTCGTCGGTGAAGGGCGGCTGGGAGATGGAAACCGCGTGCTCACGCTGCGGCCGCCAAATCACCGTCCCGCGTCGCCGGAACTGCACCGAGCCGTCTACACTCACGCAGCGACAGCGACGGGGGGAATGGAAACGATAACGGGCGCTTGCTTACGCGCATCAGCAAACTCACAGCACCTTACATCGCAACTCACGCCGACCATCCCGTTTCCCGAAAGCAGTCTAACCGAGGGGAACCCCAGTGGCAACTGCCCATAAGGCGTTGTTAACAAGGTGCAAACAGCACTCGGCTACGCGTGGGGTAAAGTTGTCCAGCGAAGGCGTGACGTGATCAGGTGGTTTTCACGATCAAAGTAAAAAAACACGCGGGTAATCTTTAAAAATGCTATCGTGACATCGGCGTACGACGTGGACCGCTTATTTTGAATGTCACAGGATCTTTTGCGCCCACCGTGAACCAGACGGTGCTTATATATTTTTATTTTTAACGGTTAATACACCCACAGCATTGACCACGGTGACCCCAGAGGTGGAGCTGCTGCGAACCTCCCTGCAACAAGTGGCGGTGCCGCTCAGCCGTGGCACCGGGGAACGTGCAGGGTAATTGAACACCCCCCCTCCTTCCCGGGGGACCACCGCACACCGGGAGAATGTGGATAAATGGAGAGGCACAGGGGACAAACGTGGACATCGCGTACAACAAGAGACACTGGGAGACACTGGGGCCATGGGGCGGAGAATTAGACACGACACACGAGAGAGAGAGGACACAGAAGACAAAGGATGTGAGACGTAAGACGTGGGACATGAGGGGTAACGGACACGGAATGCAGAAGGCTTACAGGCAGGACACGATACAGGGCAATGAAAGAAGAGCAATATGGGACGCACAATGCATGGGGAATGCACAAAGAATCACATCGGTTCACAAAAAAAGAAACGGAAGCAATTCACAACCACACAGAACTGACCAAAGCCACAGAACCCCAGCTTGGTGTGTGACCGGCAACAGTCACCGCTCACTCGCTCATGGAAGCGACCGACGGTGTGCGATGAGTCTCACCAACTTCAAAGGAGTGTTCCAGGGGGAGGCTCACCACCCCGTTCTCAACCTCGATGCCATCGCCTGCCTGCGAACACGGCGGTGGAGAAGGTGACACGGCAGAGGGGTGAGCAAACAAAGGAAAGGTCTCGCACCCACGGTAGAACTTGATTCACCGGTCCATGCTTGCCACCTACTGGTCGGTCAGTCAACCTTAAGAATTGCCAACTCGCGTTAGGCCAGCGGTGGTTAACCGGCGTCTCCCGAGCCGCATGCGGTGGCTCTTTAACCCACCATGCGCGGCTCTACCGAAGGGGTGCAACATACAACGTACCCATGTCACATTGGTAGCAAAAAATAATGAAAGTCCCCCATGCTGTGCCTGAAAACTGTCGATAAATAAACATATATACACACACTTAGGCTCTTTGCAGAACTCATGGGAACTTTTTGGCTCTTGGTCTGTTACAGGTTGGCCGCCCCTCTGAGCTAGGGTGGCAGAGAGGAGAGCTCTGGGGCAGGGACTGCGAGAAAGTGGACACGCTCGCCATGACCCCTGTTAGATCACCAAGCGTGAACACAAAGTGAACACACTCACCATGACCCCTGTTAGATCACCAAGTGGTGAACAGTGAACACACTCACCATGACCCCTGTTAGATCACCAAGCGTGAACACAAAGTGAACACACTCACCATGACCCCTGTTAGATCACCAAGTGGTGAACAGTGAACACACTCACCATGACCCCTGTCAGATCACCAAGCGTGAACACAAAGTGAACACACTTACCATGACCCCTGTTAGATCACCAAGCGTGAACACAAAGTGAACACACTCACCATGACCCCTGTTAGATCACCAAGTGTGAACACAAAGTGAACACACTCACCATGACCCCTGTTAGATCACCAAGCGGTGAACAGAGTGAACACACTCACCATGACCCCTGTTAGATCACCAAGAGGTGAACACAAAGTGAACACACTCACCATGACCCCTGTTAGATCACCAAGCGGTGAACACAAAGTGAACACACTCACCATGACCCCTGCTAGATCACCAAGAGGTGAACACAAAGCGAACACACTCACCATGACCCCTGTTAGATCACCAAGCGGTGAACAGAGTGAACACACTCACCATGACCCCTGTTAGATCACCAAGTGGTGAACACAAAGTGAACACACTCACCATGACCCCTGTTAGATCACCAAGCGGTGAACACAAAGTGAACACACTCACCATGACCCCTGTTAGATCACCAAGCGGTGAACACAAAGTGAACACACTCACCATTACCCCTGTTAGATCACCAAGCGTGAACACAAAGTGAACACACTCACCATGACCCCTGTTAGATCACCAAGTGGTGAACACAAAGTGAACACACTCACCATGACCCCTGTTAGATCACCAAGCGTGAACACAAAGTGAACACACTCATCATGACCCCTGTTAGATCACCAAGCGTGAACACAAAGTGAACACACTCACCATGACCCCTGTTAGATCACCAAGTGGTGAACACACTCACCATGACCCCTGTTAGGTCACCAAGAGGTGAACACAAAGTGAACACACTCACCATGACCCCTGTTAGATCACCAAGAGGTGAACACAAAGTGAACACACTCACCATGACCCCTGTTAGATCACCAAGCGTGAACACAAAGTGAACACACTCACCATGACCCCTGCTAGACCACCAAGTGGTGAACAGAGTGAACACACTCACCATGACCCCTGCTAGATCACCAAGTGGTGAACACAAAGTGAACACACTCACCATGACCCCTGTTAGATCACCAAGCGGTGAACACAAAGTGAACACACTCACCATGACCCCTGCTAGATCACCAAGCGTGAACACAAAGTGAACACACTCACCATGACCCCTGTTAGATCACCAAGAGGTGAACACAAAGTGAACACACTCACCATGACCCCTGTTAGATCACCAAGCGGTGAACACAAAGTGAACACACTCACCATGACCCCTGCTAGATCACCAAGAGGTGAACACAAAGCGAACACACTCACCATGACCCCTGTTAGATCACCAAGAGGTGAACACAAAGTGAACACACTCACCATGACCCCTGTTAGATCACCAAGAGGTGAACACAAAGTGAACACACTCACCATGACCCCTGCTAGACCACCAAGTGGTGAACACAAAGTGAACACACTCACCATGACCCCTGTTAGATCACCAAGCGGTGAACACAAAGTGAACACACTCACCATGACCCCTGATAGGTCACCAAGTGTGAACACAAAGTGAACACACTCACCGTGACCCCTGTTAGGTCACCAAGTGAGCACTGCTCATTCACCCATTTCAAATAACGGGTTGCTTCCTGACGACCAAGGCAGTTCCCCAAATGTAAAACAAAAAATTTCATGGCCTCGGCTCAGACACGAGCGATTGTCCAAAAAAATGCATCGTACATTTGTGTTTGTACTCTATTCACAAACGCACAGATTGTAAAGATTAATTTTATTATTACAAATGCAGTAAATGTTGGACAAATGGCACTATGAATGGTGTTGTGGGGTGTGTAGGATTGCCATCTCGCGTTGCGCAAGGACACTTTATTGATCTTGAGTTCGAATCCAGGCAAACCTGCTTGTTTAATTGTAATTAGTATGCTTTGTTAAATTGATTGAACAATTTGTTTTGTATCTACATATTGTTTTCTTGTTGTTGGTGTGGTTTTCATCTAAGCCCTCTTGGGCTTCCAACCTCATCTGCACACCGTTTTACCCTGTTTGTTTATATACGCACTGTTTGACTTTAACTTTGTCTTTTCTGTGCGAGTAAGCAATTCAATACAATAAACAATACAATTCAATAAACAATACAATAATACAATTCAATTAACAATACAATAAAAACACAACACAATACAATAAACAATACAATAAAAATACAACATTACAATAAACATTACAATATAATAAACAATAAAATAAACACAAAACAATAAATACAATAAACAAAACAATACAAATACAAAATTACAATAAACAATAAAATAAACACAATACAACAAATACAATAAACAAAACAATGCAACAAAGCCCACACAATAGAACACAATAAACAATACAATAAACAATTCGATCAAAGGGGGTTTCTCAGAGTGAGTTCATGGGATAGGCCCCGCTATTCAGCGGCTGCACACACACACAAAACCACCAGAATTGAATTTGGTGTTGCACTTAATTTGGCGAAATTCCGCCTCTGATAAATAACAACAAACCCCTCTCTCCCCCCCCCCCCATATCGGTTTGGTTCTCACGCTCGACTCTCGCTGCGAGGCGGTGGCACCGTGGACACTGAAGCCCCCCCCCCCCCCCATGACTCTGCGAAGCATCAAAATGAGGATTTCTCAACACAAGAGTCCAGCCACAAATCTCTTTGGGTGGCGCGTGCCTTGGCTTTGGTGATATTTCCACCAAGGGATTATTTCGTCTCGGTTACGGGGGATGCCGACAGCACGCAAGGAAGCACATTTGGTTAGAAAAACATGTTTTGTAAATGTTGCTAAGAGACAGAAAAAACATCCTTCACTTTGACATCCTTCACTTTGACATCCTTCACTGACATCCTTCACTTTGACATCCTTCACTTTGACATCCTTCACTTTGACATCCTTCACTTTGACATCCTTCACTTTGACATCCTTCACTTTGACATCCTTCACTTTGACATCCTTCACTTTGACATCCTTCACTTTGACATCCCTCACTTTGACATCCTTCACTTTGACATCCTTCACTTTGACATCCTTCACTTTGACATCCTTCACTTTGAAGGATGTCAGGAAAAACAAAACACGTGTGACGTACCTGCCACTGCCAATGACCGACACGGCAAGTGAACGTAATTCATGTTTTTTATTGGTCCCAGGTGGAATAAGAATGCCGCCTGCTCTCTCTTCCCAGCTGCTACACAGGGCAAGTGGGATCAGAAATCGTGATGGGTATCACGATGGGTATCGTGGTGGGTATCGTGGTGGGTCTCGTGGTGGGCATCGTGGTGGTTATCGTGGTAGATATGATGGGCATTGTGATGGGAATTGTGATGGGTATCGTGGTGGGTATCGTAGTAGATATGATGGGCATTGTGATGGGCATTGTGATGGGTATCGTGGTGGGTATCGTGGTGGGTATCGTGGTGGGTATCGTGGTAGATATGATGGGCATTGTGATGGGTATCGCCACATACCGAAACGCTTTCTCGGGCCTCATCGCTCAGATGCGTTCCTCCCCCCCCCCCCCCCCCCGTAATCTCTGCTCCTGACCACAATCCTGACGTTCAGGATCTCTTACTTAACATCTAGACTGCAAACTCAGTTCTTTAGAGTTGCCGTTTGTGTGTTTAGTTTGCGGTCCTTACCCCCCACCACCACCCCCACCGCGCACGCTTGGCCACGTACGGCACGAAAGAAGTTCACCGCACGCTGCGTGCAGCCGTCTGGGGGGAGCCCCGCAGACTTCCCGAGACGAGGCCCGAGACGAGGACCGAGACGAGGCCCGAGACGAGGACCGAGACGGGGCCCGAGACGAGGCCCGAGACGGGGCCCGAGACGAGGCCCGAGACGAGGCCCGAGACGAGGACCGAGACGAGGCCCGAGACGGGGACCGAGACGAGGCCCGAGACGAGGACCGAGACGGGGACCGAGACGAGGCCCGAGACGAGGACCGAGACGGGGACCGAGACGAGGCCCGAGACGAGGACCGAGAAGGGGACCGAGACGGGGACCGAGACGAGGCCCGAGACGAGGACCGAGACGGGGACCGAGACGAGGCCCGAGACGAGGACCGAGACGAGGACCGAGACGAGGCCCGAGACGAGGCCCGAGACGGGGACCGAGACGGGGACCGAGACGAGGCCCGAGACGGGGACCGAGACGAGGCCCGAGACGGGGACCGAGACGAGGCCCGAGACGAGGACCATGCCTTCCCCTCCTCCCGCCTGCCACGCGAAGCCTCGCGGGGTCACCAACTCGGCCTGCCGTGCCCGCGGCCTTCACCTGTGCTGCTGCGGCTGCTCGCTCGCAGCACTTTGCCCCACCAGGCTACGACACCAGGCTACGGCCCCAGGCTACGGCACCAGTCTACGACACCAGGCTACGACCTTCGTCTCTGTGCACAGCCCAGCGAGGGGGTTCGCGACCACTCCTCCAGCCCCTCACGTCGGGGGCTAAAGCGCCTCGAGCGGCTCCGCCATCCCACCCGCACCTTCTTGGCCACGGCCACGCCGGGCGACAGCAGCGCGAGGCAGCAGCAGCAGCAGAAGGCGGCAGCGGCGAGGAGCCCGGAGGAGGAGGAGAGGGACGAGGAGGACCGCGCACGCCGGTCCCGGCTACCGGGTCCAGCAGCACGCCGCTCCGCCATGACGGGGGTCAATGGATGAGGCGGGGCCTCGATGGGGAAGGGGCGGGGCCTCAACGCAGGGGGGCGGGCCCTCGAAATGAGGGGCGGGCCTTGAAGTGCGGCAGGGGAAGGGCGGGGCCTCGATGGAAAGAAGAAGTGGGGGGTCTCCAAGTAGGGGCGGGGCATAGAGAAGAATAGGCGGGGCTTTGAAGGGAGCGGACGGTGGCCTTGAAGTGTGGGACGGAGTCTTGAGGGGAGCGGGCGGGGGCCTCGAAGTATGGGGCGGGGCCTAGAGGGGAATGGGCGGGGCCTCTACGTGTGTGTGGGGGGATTATCTCGCCCCGCCCCTTTTATTCGTGTTGTGGACATTGTTATTGACATCGTTTTTGACATCGTCCAATAAACAAATCACAGCTTTCTTGGAAATTATTTTATTCGTAAAAATACCAGATATTTAACTTGCATACAAACACTCGAGTTGCTTCATGCCAATATAATGGTTCTTGAGTATAAAAAAAACACAGCAGACATCGAAAAAATAAAATCCAAATTAGCCACTAAACACTACTGGGATGCGATACGTTACACTGCGGGTTAGGTGAGCTCTCATGTCATCTAGAAATTAGAATCAGATTCATTTGTGAAGTTATCCTCCCAACATTAACTATATATGTGTGTGTGTATGAGCCAAGCATTGTAACTATTACCCTTACCTACATTTGCATAGTGACATCTAGCCACGCCGCTATCAGGATGCCACGGTGGCTAGGAGATGTTAACTACCTCGCCTGGTATACAGGAGGCCGTGGGCTCCATCCAGCTGTATGTTGGGAGTTTGCGGCGTCTCTCTCTCCCCGTGGTCGCGTGGATTTTTCTCCGGGTCCTCCGATATTTCCCCTCCACATTTAGATTCAACATCACGCGTTTGAGAGTTTTTGGTTGATATAAATTCCCACACGATGAGCCACTTTGTTGAGCTATCGTTTGTTTATGGCCAGGTCGCTTCTGATAAAAAAAGAGCTACTCAGCTCAGTGGGGCCTTACCTGGTAAAATATAAATAGTTTAGTTTCGAGTGTACAGGCGATGTGGGTGCACCAGGGCCCATGGGGCTGGATGGAGCCGGTTGCTAGGCTACAAAGGGGGGAAATTGAACAGGCGGGCAGGGGTTCCCATACTTGGCCCATGCCAAGTTTGAGGCCGTCTGGAACGCTCTTCCTTCCGATATTAGGAAGCCACTGGAGCTATGCACTTTTACATCATCTAGATTGAAAACCTATTTCTCAAGAACTCCTTTGGCTACGTACGGCGCGAAAGAAGTTCAGGGCACACGCAAAGGCGTCCACATCAAACGCGGCACGTGACGTAAACTCGAGAAAGGCCCACGACAGGCAAGTCCCAGAGTTCATCGCTCGCCAACTGAGTACGACTCACGTTCGCATGTGCCTCTGGTAGGAAGCCTTGTTGCAATCTGAGTCTCTTCATTTTCACTGAGGCGCATTTACCCCCCCCCGCCCCCTGGCTCCCGAGAGTGCAAATGCGTCCTGTTGGTCTCTGGCAGTGGTTCTCAATCCGGTTGGTGGACCACCGGTGGTCTGGGGCTGGCCATGGAAAGTGGTTTGCAAATCTGTGAGGAGATTGTAAAAATATTCATATATTCCTCACAACACCGGATTTTTTTTACTGCACGCTTGCAAAGAGTTGACACAGTTCTGCGGATCCACAAAGGTCGGAATCCACCGGTCTAATGCTCAGCCTCCTGAGAGTAACGTACCGCACAAGATGCGATTATTTCTTGTCAAAGAAGCAGCGCCATGCAATAACTTACGCAAACAAAACCACGACCCCACCACCTCGTACGCGAGCACTGAAACATCCTCACCTCGCCCACAGTTGCTAAATGGACAGGACTGCCACGATATAAGTTCTCAATACGATACAATATACGGTACACTTTGAGGATACAACCATCATGACGATATCTCTTTAGCACAAGAATAGTTGTGTTTTGCATTTCCATATTGTTTTTGTGCTTTGCTGTATGTACATCCGGTACGAACACAGATGACTTTAAAAAGTTCATCGGCTGCAGTTGACGGAACATAAGCCAGTCATAAGTGTTCTCATCAATGTAACTTAACAATATACAGTGCTTATAAAGCACATTCTGTGAGTTACACGAGAAATAATTAAATGAAATATAAACATTGTGTCATGAGACCACTATGCCATCAATCACTCTGATTGATGAATGATTGTAAAGCACTTTGAATGGATCGTCACTATGTAGAACTTTAACAACTGCGTTCAATAAGTTGGAAATCCCTCGTGAGGAATGACATCCGTAAACAAATGTAAAATGACCAACGATGATCCTGATACGATATTTTGCAACAATTATATGACAGTCATGGACGTTACATGGTACGATATATATTGTAGTATCGCTCATATTGTGACAACCCTATACATTACGAGACAAGACGAGTCCGCATGGCTGACCTACGGTGTAACAAAAAATCTCTCCGAGTGAAGGCAACGCTGAATCTCAGGACGTCGAGATAGCTGAGAGACTCAAAGGGCCAAGATCGCTTAGCTGGTACCGCTGTGATGCTTGGTTTGAATGTCGGCAGTCCTTCTAAGTACTAATCCAGGTTCCTGAGTGTTTACATTCTAAGGCCTATCACCAAAGGGCTGCACACAGAGCCTGTCACGTGCAATGTTCCTTCTGCGCTTTAACTAAAATCTCACTTATAATTAAATCGGTTGAACGTATATAACGTGACTTGTATCATGTGAGTGGGGGGGGGGGGGGGAGTGTGGGGGGGGGAATGCTTTCATATATTGTGAGGAACAGAGGTCGCTTGAAGGGAACACTGACGCAGTTCTGCGTTGTCCACTTTCGCGGGCCGTTCTCAAACGGAGAGATGCACCGCTGCCACAAGTCATCCGATTGGTCCCCCGTCGTCTCGAGACAACGGGGGACTCAAGACCGGGACTGTACGTGGGGGAAATTCCGGGAAAAAAAAACAAAGTTCATATTCTTGAACGCATAAGTAGGCTTTAGCGACAAACATTATCTATAAGACGCACATCTGGCTGTCGCCTGATGATGCCGGTTGTAATTACTGGCGAAACGTCATACTCAGATTGTAAATGTTGTGGCTTTGCTCTCCCAACACACCGGTGGTGCTGGACTAGTGACGAATAAGCACGTTCTGTTTACGTTACAAACCTTACTAGTTGGCTGTGCTGGTTGGTGGCGGGTTTAACGACATTTGTATATTTACGCGCTCTAACCCACAAAAAAAATCTGTATTATGGATGATATTGGTCGCGAACGCCTATGTGTTAAACTGATTATCCATAAGAGTAAGGGTTGTCACGTAGACAAAATATGTCAATGCGTTACTAGTACAGAGAGTAACGAATTGACATGTTTTGTTTATGTGACAAACTGTACTAATTGTCTGTACCGGATAGTGAAGGGTTTAACGACACATTTATACATTTATGCAATCTAACCCACCCCCCCCGCCGCCAAAACATCTATTATGTAAATTTTCTTCTCGTTTTGTGCCACCGATTTATTAAAAGCAACCACCCACGAGCCGAGCCGGATGTTTTTCACACGGGAGAGATTTTTCACGGTACTATTCACGCGTTCAGAGGCTGCCGCGGCTCCTGCTGTCGCTGCTTCCGCTACAGAAAAGCGCGGCAACCCCCGCCCGCCACGTGCCGATTGCCTCGGGCTGGAAGCGTCCGCGATGGGCGGATGGAGCAAGTGGGGTCAGAGAGCAAAGGAGCGGTGGTGAGTGAAGCAGCTAAAGTTCGTCGTGGTGTTTGTTGAGGTCTTCGCCGTAATTGGTCGCTTGGCTGCCCACAAACAGGCTCCAGGCCTCCAGGATCTCCTCCTTCGTCAACTTCCCATCCTACCCCACAGCACAACAACAAAATGGAATGAGCGAGACCGCAAGATGGGTGGGGTTACAAAACAAATGTCCACGGTATGATGGTGAGCGCACTGGACTTGCGATCCTGAGCTCGCCAGTTCGATTCTGTCTTAGCACGGTTGGCTATGTACGGCGCTAAAGAAGTTCAAAATACATACAACCACACAATGGGGAAAAGTTTCTCGAATTCCCACCCCCCCATCTCTGTGGATCCAGCAGTATAAATGTAAACGCCGCAATTGGTCGATCGGCAGGTCACACGTCTGGCCAGCAGCGGCGCTAAGCCAGAAGTTGCAGCGCCGCGCATTTGACCTTCGCGCCCGCGCGAGCGCCTGCGTGCCAACGAGCGAAGCGTGCCCAAACGCGTACCCGGTTGCCATCGGCCTCGTAGACGAGGTGGCGCGCCTCGGCCTCCGCGTGGTTGTAGTCGGGCGGGGGCAGCACCCAGCGGCGCACCTCGTCGTAGCCCAGCTTGCCGTCGTGGTCCGTGTCGCGGAAGTCGGTGAACTGGTGGCGCTCCGTCTGTACCCACTCGGGCTCGGGCTCCCCGGGGGCCAGGGTCTCCCCGCCCCGGCCCATGATGTCACCTGCCGGAGGGGGGGATAAAGTGATGGGGAGCGGTCGGCGGAGAGAGATGTGTGTGTATACAGGTGCGTATTTGTGTGTGGTGTGTGATGTGTGATATGTGGTGTGTGTGGTAGTGTAGTGGTTAGCACGCTGCACTACGAATCCGGCGACCCGAGTTCGACTCCCACGCACGGCCAACACCAGCGATGATTATCTGAACCGGTCTTGGGCCTCCCCTAGGTCGACTCAGCCTCAAATTAGTACCTGGTGCGGTGTGTAAAATATCAGCACTGGGGAGACAAAGGTGGCCGGGCGTGGTTGCTGGCCACCCACCCCCTTCGTGTGCTTTGCCGGCCTTCATAAGTCCTGCTCACTAACAGCACTTGCCCCAACAGTCTGTTACAGGCTACACGGGGGACCTTTGTCTTGTATGAGTGGCGGCGTAGTGGTTGGCGCGCTGCGCTACGAAGCTGGCGATCCGAGTTCCATTCACGCTCACGGCCAACACCAGTGACGATTATCTTAATCTGGAGTCGTGAACCACCCCCACACGTGCCGAGCCGGCTTTCATCGGTGCCACTCGCTACTGAACACACTTACCAATAGTACACTTACCAATAGTACACACACCAATAGTACACACTTACCAATAGTACACACCAATAGTACACACTTACCAATAGTACACACCAATAGTACACACTTACCAATAGTACACACTTACCAATAGTCCACGCCAATAGTACACACTTACCAATGTACACACCAATAGTACACACTTAGCAATAGTACACATTTACCAATCGTACACACTTACCAATAGTACACACTTACCAATAGAACACACCAACCAATAGTACACACCAACCAATAGTACACACTTACAAATAGTACACACTTACCGATAGTACACACAAACCAATGTACACACTTACCAATGTACACACCGATAGTACACACCAATGTACACACTTACCAATAGTAAACACTTACCAATGTACACACTTACCAATTTACACATTTACCAATAGTACACACTTACCAATGTACACACTTACCAATGTACACACTTACCAATAGTACACACTTACCAATAGTACAAATCAATAGTTCACACCAATAGTACACACTTACCAATAGTACACACCAATAGTACACACTTACCAATGTACACACTTACCAATGTACACACTTACCAATAGTACACACTTACCAATGTACACACTTACCAATAGTACACACTTACCAATGTACACACTTACCAATAGTACACACTTACCAATGTACACACTTACCAATAGTACACACTTACCAATAGTACACACTTACCAATGTACACACTTACCAATAGTACACACCAATAGTACACACTTACCAATAGTACACACAAACCAATGTACACACTTACCAATAGTACACACTTACCAATAGTATACACCAACCAATGTACACACCAATAGTACACACCAATGTACACACTTACCAATAGTAAACACTTACCAATGTACACACTTACCAATAGTAAACACTTACCAATAGTACACACTTACCAATTTACACATTTACCAATAGTACATACTTACCAATGTACACACTTACCAATAGCACACTTACCAATAGTACACACTTACCAATAGTACACACCAATAGTACACACTTACCAATAGTACACACTTACCAATAGTACACACTTACCAATAGTACAAATCAATAGTTCACACCAATAGTACACACTTACCAATAGTACACACCAATAGTACACGCTTACCAATGTACACACTTACCAATAGTACACATTTACCAATGTACACACTTACCAATGTACACACTTACCAATGTACACACCAATAGTACACACTTACCAATAGTACACACTTACCAATGTACTCGTCCAAGCTGATGGCACCATCGCCGTCCTTGTCCAGGTCCTCGATGGTCTCCTGATAAGAGAGTGACACAGCCACTCGTTTATCCACTGTCTCCCGATGCGACAGTGTGTATGACGTCTGTGGCCTCAAGGTGCACATAGCCTGGCACAAGCGTCGTGGTGAAGTCACCGCCACTTAGTGGCGAATGGAGGTAGTTGTTGTTGTTGTTGACGTCTGTTATATATTGGGAGTTTGCACGTCTCTCGCCCTGCGGTTTTGTGGATTTTTACTCCGGGTCCTCCGGTTTTTCCCGCTAGAATTAAGAATCGCATGTTTAGAGTATTTGGCTACTATAAGTTTCCACACGTGATAAGCCACTTTGTTGGGCTATCATTTGTGGCCAGGTCGCTTCTGAAAAAGAGCTACATAGCTAAGTGGGCCTTACCTGGTGAAATACCAATACATAGAGTGTGTGTGCGTGAGCACACGCATCCACGTGTGTGTGTATAGTATAGCAGTTAGGGTGCTGCGCTACGAACCCGGCGACCTGAGTTCGATTCCCGCTCATGGCCGACTCAGCCTCAAGTGAGTAGATGGTGTAGCGGTGTGTAAACATCGCCACCGGGGAGACAAAGGCGGCCGGGCGTGGTGCTGGCCACCCACACCCTCAAGTGCCGTGCCGGCCTTCGTAGGTGCTACTCGCTAACAGCACTTGCCCCAACAGTCTGTTCAGGCTATACGTCGGGGTCTTGGCCTTTGTATGTTGAACATCTTTCGCACCGTACATAGCCAACCGTTCTAATCAGAGGTGCGGCTGTATACGTGTGAATGCGCGCGTGTGCGTGCGCGCGTTTGTCAGTGTGCGCGTGCGTACACGCACAGGTGCGTACGTGCGAGTGTACGTGCGTGTGTGTGCACCCCCCCCGCCCCACCATGACAACGACGCTCTCCATGTGCGTGAAGTCCTCGGGGTGCATGAAGGCCGTGAGCTCCTCCACCGTGGCCGTCATGTCCCCGTCGCGGTCGGCCACGCGGAACCGGCGCTCGTCGCGCTGCAGCATGTGGCGGTAGGTGGCCAGGTCGCCCTCCTGCACGTGGAACAGCGCCTCGCCCTCCGGGTCTACGCGGGAGAGACGGCACGGCAGGTGAGCGACCGGCGACGGCCGTGTGGTCTCCTTGTGTCGCACAATCGCTGAACGTGGCCGCTTTTCGCCATAGCCACCGTATCCGGATTCATCTGGCCGTTCCTCTCGGATGCTCACGTGGGCATCCTACTGACAATTCTAGATTTGAAGCTTTCGTGACTGCAAGGATCCATACTCTTTGGTTCTATTAGGTAAAGTCACGTAGGTAAAAAATAAAACAACAAAAAATCACAACGTTTCGGCCACAACACAAGCGGCCAAAGAGTATGGATCCTACTGACACTCTAGGATGCTCACGTGGGCATCCTACTGACACTCTAGGATGCTCACGTGGGTATCCTACTGACAATAAAGTATTAAAGCTTTCGTGACTGCATAAAATTACTCATTGGTTTTTTCGGTAAAGTCACGTATGTAGAAATACAATAAAATTATATTTAAAAAAAACAATCACGACGTTTCGATCACAACGCAAGCGATCTTCATCAGGTGGCAAGAACAAATCACGGAGGTAAATACAACAAAAAGATGAGAGACGAGAATTCAACAAACCTGAAAAAACATTATGTGAAGCACATCCAGTCAGGCCAACAACACAGTTAATATAATTTTATTGTATTTCTACATACATGACTTTACCGAAAAAACCAATGAGTAATTTTATGCAGTCACGAAAGCTTTAATACTTTATTATCACACTTCTACGGGGAAGTTACCGTTGTAATTATGTGTAAGATGTGCCCTTTTTTGAGCTGCCGTTTTGTATTTACAAGAGGTGGTCATTTTTTGAGCTACCGTTTGTATTTACAAGAGGTGGCCATTTTTTGAGCTACCGTTTTGTATTTACAAGAAGTGGTCCTTTTTTGAGCTGCCGTTTTGTATGTGTAAGCTGTGCGTGTTTGAGCTGCCGCTCTCGCTCTGGCCCCTCCCCCCCTCCAACCGTATTTCCTATTTAAGCTTCGGTTCATCCCTCTGCCCCCCCCCCCCTCTCTCTCTGCCTCCCTGTCCGTCTTTCCTCCTTCCTTACCTCTTGGTGGACTTGTATATGTATTTCTACTGACCGTGTACCTCGTATTTTTCATTCTATCTATGCTGGTATGTGCAATCCAAAGGTTGAACACGAAATTTAACACTTCTGAAATTCGTGGTCCGCCAGGAAGTGTCTAACTGTGTTGTTGGCCTGACTGGATGTGCTTCACATAATGTTTTTTCAGGTTTGTTGAATTCTCGTCTCTCATCTTTTTGTAGTATTTACCTCCATGATTTGTTCTTGACACCTGATGAAGATCGCTTGCGTTGTGATCGAAACGTCGTGATTGTTTTTTGTTTTAATATCATTTTATTGTATTTCTACATATGTGACTTTACCGAAAAAACCAATGAGTAATCCTACTGACACTCTAGCATGCTCACGTGTGCATCCTTCCCCTCCCGCCCGCCCAATCCCCGCTCCCCCACGCCCCCCCTCCCCCCCCCCCCATTGCCCTCTACGAATCAGTTTCAGCGTCACACAAAAATCCCTCCCACGCACGCGGACGCGGGGCAGAGCGCCGGCAGACCGTTACCCAGGGTGTTGCCGTAGGAGGTGTTGCGGTATTCCTGCCAGGACACGAGGCCGTCCCCGTTGACGTCGTACTCCCGGTGGCGCTGGGCGGCCCGCTCGCCCGCATGCCGCGTGTGCGTGTGCTCGATCCACGCACGCAGCTCCGTGCCCGTCACCAAGCCGTCGCTGTTACTGTCCACGCGCCCCACGATGTTCCTGCCGCCGCGCAAGACGCGTTCGTACGTTTCATTCCTAGGTATGTTCATTCGTTCGTTCGTGCGTTCGTACGTACGCTCGTTCATTCATTCGTGCGTTCATATGTTCATTCGTTCGTGCGTTCATTCCTTCGTACGTTAATTCGTTTGTGCTTTCGTACATTCATTCGTTCGTGCATTCATTAATTCGTCCGTTCATATGCTAAGTCGTTCGTACGTTCATTCGTTCGTACATTAATTCGTGCGTTAATTCATTCGTGCATTCCTACGTTCATTCGTTCGTGCGTTCATTAATTCGTGCGTTCGTACGTTCATTCGTTCGTGTGTTCGTACGTCCATTCGTTCGTGCATTGCGGTTTTAATTCATGCGGGGCGTACGGCACACAAATGGCAAAGATAAAAACCTAAAACTTTTATTTTACCAGGTAGGGCCCAAAATATAGGTATTTTAGGTTAGGTCGCGTAAATATAAATGTGTCGTTAAACCCGCCACCACCCAACACAGCCAATTAGTAAGTAAACAGAACGTGCCAATTCGTTACTAGTACAGCACATCGGTGTGTTGGAGAGTAAACTCACTACATTTACAATTCAAGTTTCATGTTTCGCCAGTAGTTAAAGGTAAGGCCCACTGAGCTATGTAGCTCATCTTTTTATAAGCGACCTGAACGCGTGTTTAATTCTGGTGGGAATGACCGGAGGACCCGGATGACAATCCACGCGACCATGGGGAGAGCACGAGAGACACGCAACTCCACGTGAACATATATACCTTATGTTGTTGTCCTTCAAACCGCACCTCCGCTTCTCACAGTTGGCTACGTACGGTGCGAAAGGTTGGCTACGTACGGCAATGGATACCCATTATAATTTATATCCATTCATGAATCCCACCCTCCTTCGCACGTGAACTGCTCACAAGTGACGTCATCACATCTATCCCTCTATTTAAGGAACGAAACAGGAGGATTGTCCGCAAATCTGGCTGTCCGCCTGATGATGCTACTTGTAATTACTGGCGAAACGTCGTACTCAGACTGTAAATGTTGTGGATTTGCTCTCCAACACACCGGTGTGCTGTACTAGTGATGAATTGGCCACGTTCTGTTTACGTGACAAACCTCACTAATTGGCTGTGTCGGGTGGTGGCAGGTTTAACGACACATTTCTATTGACGCGATCTAACCCCCCAAAAAAATCCCCTATAGTACTGTGCGAAAAAAGTTCAACATACACACACAGCAGGCATCGTCAGGGGTCGGGGGGGTCGGGACCCCGCGTGTTACCCCAAGCGGTGGCGGCTCTCGTCCGGGGTGAGCTGGTCGAAGGTGCGCGCCTCCTCCACGCCCAGGAAGGCCTCGTGGTCGTACTGCAGGCCGTGCGCCACGTCGCCGTCCAGCGGACGCTCCCCCAGGGACTGCTCACGCCGCGCCAGCTTCTCCAGCGCCGCCGGCACGGCCAGCGCCGCCGGCACGGCCAGCGCCGCCGGCGGGGCCAGCGCCGCCAGCAGGCACGCGGCGGCGAGGGCGGCGAGGGTGGCGGGGCTGGGCGGTCGCGTCATCGTGCTGCCGCGATAAAGAGGGTTTTTGTGGGTTTAGGTCGCTTGGATGCAACTGTGGCCCTGATGAAGCCCGTTGTAATTACTGGCGAAACGTCGTACTCAGATTGTACATGTTGTGGATTTGCTCTCAAACACACCGGTGCGCTAGTGACGAATTGGCATGTTATGTTTATGACAAACCTTACTAGTCGGCTGTGTCGGGTGGTGGCGGGTTTGACGACACATTTACGCGATCTAACCCAAAACCCTCTATTATGGATAATATTGGTCGCAAAAGCCTCCGTGTTGAAGACTTAGACTGGAGCGCACCTAGCCTGGCACAAGCAATGAAGCTATATTTCACAGGTGTCCCAGGTCACTCTTGGAGTGAGACTCATCCTGGCATCTAGACTTGTCACCTGGTTAAACACAATAAACTATTTGTTTTTATTTGACCAGGTAATGCCCCACTGAGTTGTGCAGCTCATTTTTTTTTAGAAGCGACCGGGCCACCACAAATGACAGCCCAACGAGAAGCGGCTTATCACCATCATCACGTGGAAATGTATCGCAAGCAAAGTGGAGCAAATCAACGTGCCCTTTGACACGCCATGGTGACAGGCCGCTGTGGCGATTCCATACAGAAATTAACTTTGGCGACTGGACCAGTGCGAGGTGTTCGTACGTGTGGTTGAACTTCTTTCGCACCGTACGCAGGCAACCGTGCTAATCGGAGGTGCAGGGGGAAAGGCAACAAACGAGCAGACACGCACAACGCGTCTGGGACGCTCTTCCATCCGATATTAGGAATCCACTGCAGCTACGCATGGTTAATGCAGACATGACTTCTTACAAAAGGTTTCTGTTTGGCGTTTGAACATCTTAACACCTCCTGTTTTATTGCCAGAAAGGGCAGAACCTCTTCTTATACTTTAATACCAGCAAGAAAAGGTTCCAATGCTGGAGCTATGCATCTGTCTCCCTACCCAAAGATCGATCATCCCCCACAGCCCCGCCCCTACGTCCCCCACAGTCCCCCCCCCCGCAGCCCCGCCCTCTCAACCCCCCCCACCCCTTGTCCGCATGTGTGGCCCCGTTTCTCCCGGACAGCCCCCCCCCACCCGAGCCCAGCCCGCAGCCCCGCCCCTCGGTCCGTAAAGCGCCGCCTTTTCCGGTGGAACAGACCACCCCCCCCCCAATTTGTTGTTGTTGTTTAGTAATCAACCGCTTAATTGAAAGTCTACCGCGCACGCAAAGATCTGCAGCTCTTTCCAAGAATAGGCTCCTGAGATGTAGCATTGTGTTGAAGTGAGCATCCCCCAGGAGCAGTAGGATGCTCACGTGGCAGTAGGGTGCTCACGTGACAATCCCAGAGGAGCAGTAGGCTGCTCACGTGACAATCATAGAGCAGCAGTAGGATGCTCACGTGGCAATCATAGAACAGCAGTAGGCTGCTCACGTGACAATCATTGAGCAGCAGTAGGATGCTCACGTGACAATCATAGAGCAGCAGTAGGATGCTCACGTGACAATCATAGAACAGCAGTAGGATGCTCACGTGGCAATCATAGAACAGCAGTAGGATGCTCACGTGGCAATCATAGAACAGGAGTAGGATGCTCACGTGGCAATCATAGAGCAGCAGTAGGATGCTCACGTGACAATCATAGCAGTAGGATGCTCACGTGGCAATCATAGAGCAGTAGGATGCTCACGTGACAATCATAGCAGTAGGCTGCTCACGTGACAATCATAGAGCAGCAGTAGGATGCTCACGTGACAATCATAGAACAGCAGTAGGATGCTCACGTGACAATCATAGAACAACAGTAGGATGCTCACGTGGCAATCATAGAGCAGCAGTAGGATGCTCACGTGACAATCATAGCAGTAGGATGCTCACGTGGCAATCATAGAGCAGCAGTAGATTGCTCACGTGGCAATCATAGAACAACAGTAGGATGCTCACGTGGCAATCATTGAGCAGTAGAATGCTCACGTGACAATCATAGCAGTAGGCTGCTCACGTGACAATCATAGAACAGCAGTAGGATGCTCACGTGACAATCATAGAACAGCAGTAGGATGCTCACGTGGCAATCATAGAGCAGCAGTAGGATGCTCACGTGACAATCATAGCAGTAGGATGCTCACGTGGCAATCATAGAGCAGCAGTAGATTGCTCACGTGGCAATCATAGAACAACAGTAGGATGCTCACGTGGCAATCATTGAGCAGCAGTAGAATGCTCACGTGGCAATCATAGAGGAGCAATAGGCTGCTAACGTGAGCATCCCAGAAGAACAGACAGATGAAATCGGATGCAGTGAACGCAGCGAAAAGAGACCACATTCAGTGAGTGTCGAGCACAAAGAGACCACGTCAGCTCATTACGTGTATGTATTCTGATGAGGTCCACTGAGCTAAATAAGCTCTTTTGTTATCCACAGATACACAGCGGGAACAAACGGAGCCTCGACCACTGGCTCGCACCAACGCAGTTGTGGTCCTAAACGCGTTCCACTCGCACACACGGAGCCCCGTGGGTGACAGGGCGAGTCGCCCACGTGGTTGCATGCGACACTCGCAGCAGGCGACACCCCCTTGCCGTGATGATATTGTTTGGATCGTCCCACACTTACATAACAGACATTTGCACTTAAAACTAAACAATTTTAAACTAAAATATGTTGCAGTGAGACTCATCCTGGTATGTTGAGTTCTCACCTGGTTAAACAAAATAAACGAAACATTTTTTTTTTCCATATTAGGCCCCACAGCTGCTGTTTCGCTCTATTTCAGAAGCGACCTGGTCCACAAACGAAAGCTCAACAAAGTGGCTTATCAAGTGTACATTTATAGCAGCCAAAGATTACTCTAAACGCGTGATGTTGACTCTAAATGTAGAGGGGCAAAAACCGGAGGACACGGATACTAACCCACGCAACCATCCAAATAACGTAGCCATCCTCTGAGTCGGGATCGAACCCACGACCACCTGCATACCAGGCGAGGTAGTTGACATCTCACCGCCGCCGTGGTGCCACCTGAACATCACGCAACGTACAGATTCCCCCATACGGGACTCTACAGACTGTGGTCAACCAAGCCGCTGTTCTTTTTTTATCCGCCCGGCGACGTCTCGCTGATGTGGAGCGTCGCTCCCCAAGCCACCCCCCGGCTCGCATCAGCGAGGAGGCTCGCGCAGAAGCCACCGACGAAGCACCAACAACTTCGCCCCATCGGACTTGCCCGATGGGGGGGAGTTGGAGGGCGAAATCGCCCCATAGGCAAAGATCTGACGGCGAGGAGCGACGCTCACGACAACAAAGACAAAGCCCCCCCCCGCCCCCAGGTGTAGCCTCAACAGACTGCTGGGGCAAGTGCTCGCTACTCGCGAGCAGCACCTATGAAGACCGGCGCGGCACACGAGGGGGTGGGCCAGCACCGCGTCCGGCCGCCTTTGTCTCCCCCGTGGCGATGCGAACTCGCCACACCAGGCACTGTACTCATTTGAGGTCGAGTCGACCGAGGGGATGCCCAGGACCGGTTCAAGATAATGGTCATCGGCGGCCGTGAGTGGGAATCGAACTGCAGTGACCGAGTTTGTAGCGCAGCGCGCTCACCGCTACGCCCCACAAGAAGACGACGAAGCCGACGTGTACTCGGAGCGTCGCCAGCCGCCTTGCGCCAGGCTACGTACACACTCCGTGGCCGCGTTAAAGAGTCGAAGGCTCGCCGCTGGCTGGCGAGGGGGTGCGACGGCACGGCCCCAGCTGTGGGTTTTAGTGACCGAGACGACTCGGCAAGGTGCTCACCTCTCTCCCGAGAGTCCGACCCGTCCGAGATCACGCGGCCTCCGCTCTCTCGCACGCACGCGGCGGGCAACTCCGCCTCGCGATTTTGCCTCCTCGGCACCACCCGCCCCCCAACCTCTCCCTCTCGCTGCCACCGCGGCTGGGTTCGGAATTTTAGGATTCGCGGTGCAACCAATCGAGGAGCCTCGTCTCAAACGCCCCCCCCCCCCACAGCTCCCATCCCCCGCGAGAGAGGAAGGGGGAATGCGCCACGTTGCAAGGCAGCCGCGCGGTCTGGCCGGGGCTGCACAACTTAGAAGGAACCCCTGCGGGTTTACGATCCACGTGGGTCGCGTCTCCCAACGAACGAATACAAATTCGGCTCGGCGAAGCCCGCCAAGTTATTGGCGATTTTTGTTTTTCTCAGAGAGGCGACCTTGGCCACGCGTGATGATCGCTCATCCAAGTGGCTACTATCGTCGTCATTACGTGTGGGAATGCATTCGGAGCAGCCGAATCATCTATAACGCGCCTTGTTCCTGAATATGGAGGGCGCGGGACAAAAGCGGAGGAGCCCCCCGAGGAAAATCCAAGTGACCACCGCGAGCAGAGAGAGAACACGCGGATTTACAAATATACAAGCATCGTCAGGGTCCGGGAGCGAACCGAGGCGAAGGAGATAGTCTCCTCGCCACCGCGGCAGAATATGCAGCGTTAAGTTACATGGGTGGGAGCGATGGCGTGGTTGTGAGTTGTGCCGAGCCCAGCGACCCGAAGCGAGAGACGAGTGCTCTTCACTCATTTTCAGAAGGGGGTGGGTGCCACTGTCACCGATAAGACATCGTCAGTGTTGAGCGAGGGCTGCCGCCACACATTTGAAACCATTGTTGGGTTTGACAGCAGCACGATGATGGTGGTGATGAGGTGGTGGTGTTGTCACTCTTTGTGTATTATCGGGGGCCGCCAGTGGCCCGCGGGCCTTGCAGTGAAGGACGCCGCTCCACGGGGTTCCAGGCCACGTCTCACACCAATGACCACGTGATATCTGAACTGGTCCTTGGCACTGCCTTCAACCAATGCACGACGAGCAGCAGCCCAATACAATATGGTCAAACTACGCTTGGGAACGCAAGGCGTGGCCCACACGCACTGGCTTTAAATCACAATATTTTACTTGTCCTGCACATGTCTCTTCGTGTTTATTCCCGATAATTTTCAGATAGATCGGGTCAAGAAGCATCTTATGCCATCATCACGATCCATGCCGCAGATAGCCCGTAAGGTGTCCCACTGCACATCTCTTAATTTGTTTGCACTTTCCTCTGTCATGTGTAAAGTTAGAACGTCATCTCAATTCTAGATTTGAAGCTTTCGTGACTGCAAGGATCCATACTCTTTGGTTCTATTCGGTAAAGTCACGTAGGTAAAACATAAAACAAAAATCACGACGTTTCGGCCACAACACAAGTGGCCTTCATCAGGTGAAGGGACCGTACTGTCACGAGGACAGCGTTTGAGTGAAGACAGTCAAGCTCAGGTCGCGTCCTTTTAAGCTGTGTGGGAGGAAACAAAACGCTTTGACAAAGGAATTAGCATAAAGTGACCGTAAAGCACAAGAGGACCGGCACGGGGAAGGAGGGGAGTTTACAAATGTTGGTGTGAAGGGAAATACGCTGCTGTGAGAGTTTGGTATATCACTACTTGGATAAATATACTGTACCATTGAAAATTAGTTTAATGTTTGGTATGATTTAGAACATCTTTCCAATGGTTGCTTAATTTGAAACCATCTTCTCGGTTGAAATTGTGTCTGTGTTTATAAATCTGAATTGCCTCGTGGATAAATCTCTGATGAAAACCCATGGGGCAAGGTAAGAACCGCTCCAATTGACAACTGTTGCGATGGAAAAAAATATAACATGGTGATAACACATTTTTGTTCAAATGGCTACATCTTGAGAACAGATATTTAATTGGTGACTAGATGATGCTGTCGTGTGTATGTGTTGTAGCTGTTCCATAGCATGGCTTCAGTGTCATTGCAGCCGAGTGCAATCTCTTTAGCGAGCATGAACACCGCGTGCATGTACACAGGACTGTTGCCAATCCATCAGCAGGACCAGGGCTTCGAGCTTCCCCGCGGATCGTGGCGGTTGCACGACCATACTTCACCACGCTGGTCAGTGGGGTGCTGGCGGAAGCAGGGGGCAGGTTCCCTCGTTCTTCGGCAACTCGATGTGTGGAATTTAGCTTCCACGGGCAACTTTTCGGAACCATGTTCCGTATATCGAGGGGAATGGATTGTGTCGCACTGCCATCTGCTGCTGCCCAACACACGCACACCCCCGCACGCACTATGACAACCCGTCCAAGAAGCACTATGCAGAGTGAACCGGACGGAGCTGATGTGACCTGGCGAGAGCGCGCGGTCCACGTGACTTGGACACAGGCATCATACGACGTCGTCATGTCAACATCACGGAGTATTTGGCTGATATAAATTACCACGTGATAAGCCACTTCGTTGCGCTATCATTTATGATAGCCAGGTCGCTTTTGAAAAAGAGCTGTATAAACTCAGTGGGTCTTACCTGGTAAAATACAAATAGTTTAACACGTAAGCTTTCGCGACCAATGTCATCCATAAGAGGTTTTTGGGTTAGATCGCGTAAATATATAAATGCGTCGTTAAACCCGCCACTACCCGACACAGCCAACCAATAAGGGTTGTCACGTCAACAGAACGTGCCAATTCGTAACTAGTACAGCACACCGGTGTGTTGGAGAGCCAAGCCACAATATTTACAATCTGAGCCAGATTTGTGCTGTCGCCTGATGAAGCTAGATGTAAAAACGTCGTACTCAAGATGGTAAATGTTGGGGCTTGGCTCTCCAGCACACCCGTGTGCTGTACTGATGTAAGGGGTCTGCGAGCCACCCTCACGCACCACGCAGACATGAAATCTCCGCACTCAGTATAACACGCACCAATCACACGCACGGCAATACACTAGACGGGGTCAAGGGTTAAAGGGCACCGACGTCACCAGGACCAGGCGTGCGAGACGAGGATGTGTATTGGGAACGAGGGCGGAGATGGAGGGGTTAAAAGGGGCTGTGAGACGCGTGTTCGGGGTTGGTTTTGGAACGAGTGTTGCTGTGGGTTGACGAATAAAGAAGTGCTTAACCAGTCTCCGACTCCTCTTCACTAGTAACGACTTGGCACCTTCTCTTGACGGAGACAATCCTTACTAGTTGGCTGTGTCGGGTGGTAGGGGGATTAGCGACAAAAAACCTGTCCTATGGAAAATACAAATAGTTGAGCAAATAGTTTAAAACACGGATAAATCAATGTCAATGAGGTTATAAAAACATTTATTGACACCTAATTTTTTTATTGCTTTTTAAATGTTAATCCGTTTTACTTTCCAACAGGTTTGCGATGGAGCAGCCGATGATTCGACCCGCATGGTGGCGGGAGAGAAAAAAAATTGTCGATTTTTCGCGAGCACAACTGAACAACAACCGGGAACACGAATATTACCACCCACACTCCCCACGCCTCTCCTGCCGTCCCCCACGTACAATCGAGGGTGTCGCAGCGGGAGCTGCATCCCTTCCTACTCCAGGAGAGAGAAGTCGAACGGCTGGAAATCCTTGCGGAATTCCTTGGCAATGCCCTCCTCCTCTTCGCGGGAACTCTTGCACGCACGCCAGTCACCGCGATCCGGCATGTTCAGGATGGCTTCACTGGCCAGCACCTCCCTGTGGCACACACAGCGGAATTAAGACTCGCCCGAGAACACAAACCCTTTATTAGTGCTACAATTATTTTTCATTACGTTACGTTGAACTTCTTTCGCACCGTACGTAGCCGCCCGTGCAAATCGGAGGTGCGGGGATAATTAACACGCGGATGAAGGCCACGTCACGATTCATCCGCTAAGCGACGTCACAATTCGTAGCCGCGATTCAAGAATGGATTTCCTTACTCAGTGTACGTATGTTGAACTTCTTTCACACCGTACGTAGCCAACTGTGCTAACCTCGCTTGCAATGTTTTTTACATCTCGTTTATACAGTTGTGTTCGTTCCACTGACTAAGCTGTACCGAGAGCATTTCATTCATTGCTCTGTCGATTAGTACGTAAGCGATAAATGCGCGCGATCCTATGCGTGTAAAAAAAGAATCAAACTAAACGATTAAACCGCTGCAGCTTTACTTGCCAAACGAAAGCCAAACGGGGGGTTCAGTGAGACGTCACCCAATGATATCTTAAGAGGAAAATAAACCAATCTCGTGGGGAACGATACGTTCACGCAATATATATCGTTGTACGTACGTAACGTTGAACTTCTTTCACGCCGAACTCATAGAAAAAAGTGGCCTGGAGCTCCGAGGTGTTAAGGTGGAGAGAGTTTTGCGGGCATTCACCTTCCGAACTGCAGCGGGAAGCGGGACTTGATGCGCTGGAACAATTTCTCCCCGTTGTCAAACTCCGCGTAGAAGTACGGCGTTCCCGGCTCGACGATCTGGCCCGTTCGCACAATGAGCGCACAATGAGCGCGTTCATTTTCACGTCACAGTCATCTCTCAGCCTCAAACCCCCCCCCCCACCACATCCACACGTTGACGAAACTAATCAAATGACGCTGGCATCCGTCACCTGTTCGCCCCATCGTTCTCAATGGAGCCTTGGTGAAATATATTTGCCTAAAAATTAGGCGAGAATAAATGCTCGCCAACACGTCAATATGGACAATTGACTGGGGTGGGAGCTAGGGAGGGATGTTAGTGTACTTAGTGAGTGTACTTAGTGCACTTAGTGAGTGTACTTAGTGAGTGTACTTAGTTAGTGTACTTAGTGTTATTTCCCGAGGCCGTGGGTTTGATCCCGACCCCGACGCCTGCTGTATATTTGGAGTTTGCGGTGTCTCTCTCTCTCTGTGTTCGCGTGGCTTTTTCTCCGGGTTCTCTGGTTTTTCCCTCCACATTTATAAATCGACGTACTTTTCGCGTGTGTTTGGCTGCTATAAATTTTCACACGATGATTGAGCCATCATTAGCGATAGCCAGGTCACTTTTGGGGAAACGGCTACACAGCTCAGTGGGCTTTACCTGGTTTATAAAAGTTTTAGACGAGGGGAGGGAGGGGAGTGAATCATCGCGTGCTTAATGACCTCCCCCTCCCCTACCGAGTGAGCCGGTCACTTCCACGGCTGCGCCCACGGGGTTCACCTGCTTCAGTTCACTCCGCTCGGGCAACTCCAGTAGCTCCATCTGGTTCTCCGCTCCCTGCTGCACAAACACCTCCTTGATCTCATCCGTGCTGCACCGCTGCTCCGGGACGCCCACCACCTGCACACGCGGCACACGATGACGACGACAACAACAACAAACGCAGTGCGGGAGAACATTGCAGTTCTAATAATAATAATAATGATGATGGAGCCTTTTTGCCAGCCCACAGCTGACCAAAGGTTAGTGTAGTAAACTAAACTGAAACCCGCAGTCAACGGCAGATTCTCAGCAGAGACTATAAACTATAAAACGTCTTCTAAACTATTTCTATTTTACCAGGTAAGGCCCACTGAGCTACATAGCTCTTTTTCCGAACCGACCTGGCCACAAATTATAGCACAACGAATTCGGGTTATCACGTGGAAATTTATAGCAGCTAAATACTCTAAACGCACAATGATTCTAAATGTGGTGGAAAAAACCGGAGGACCCGGAGAAAAATCCACACAACCACGGGGAAGACATGCAAACTCAAAATATATAGTCGTCAGGGTCGGGATAGAACCCACTACCTCCTATATACCAGGCGAGGTAGTTAACATCTTGCCACCGTGGCGCCCGTAGTCTGGCACTGGTATGACGCTTAGCAATCCCGAGATGCGCGGTGACCTTGGTTGTCATGGTCGCGAATCGCATTCGAGCGAGAACGGGAGAGGTTTTTTTTGTCCATCATCGGAGCGGTTGGGCCCCTCAGTTGTCGTAGATCGTCACAAGCCACGGGGTGCAACCCTCACGAGGCATCGGACTTAAACTAACGAGAGTAAAACGGCGCTTACGCCGGTTGGTCTCGCGAGCGAGTGTGGCGCCGCCGTGGCGGAGGAGCTGCCGCAGGGCTCCGAACGACGTCTCCCGACGGTTTACGGCGGGCGCTCGTTAAATCTGCGTGGCGACCGGACGCCCAGACTGTGGCTCAGCAGGCTCGGCGAAGAGATGGTCAACCACGGCGCAGTGCTCCCGCCGCTGTTGTTATTATTGCCGTTGTTATTATTCACCTGTGGGCAGACTGTCCTATTTTGCTGAGCATAAGCCATCATCACGCAAACTCCGGTGGTCATTCTCGCAGCAGCTCTTTTGGCTAAGCCATCGAACAAAGACGGTGGTCACCGCATCATCACCGCGAGCTTTCAGATGCGCTTCTGCGGCCGTCTGGAATGCTCTGCATTCCGATATTAGGATGCCACTGGGAGCTGTGTACTTTCAAGTCTAGATTGAAAACTAATTTCTTTCGAACTGCTTTTTGTCTTTAGTTTCTTGTCCTCCCCCACATCTCCACTCCGGTGCACATCCTCCTGTTCCCCAAATACCCACACACCCAAAGATCCCCCCGTGTAGCCTTAACGAACTGTTGAGGCAAGTGCTGTTAGCGAGCACCTATGAAGGCCGGCACGGCACACAAGCGGGTGGGTGGCCAGTGGCGATGTTTACACACGGCACCAGGTACTCATTTGAGGCCGAGTCGACCTAGGGGAGGGCCCGATGACCTGTTCAGATAATCGCCACTAGTGTTGGCTGTGAGCAGGAATCGAATTCGGGTCGCTGGGTTTCATAGTGCAACGCGTCTACCCTCTACGCTGCTGCTCAAAAGACACACACACCACCCGACAGGCCTACTGTTAAAATGACACACACACACACAAGTACGAACCTATCTACACGCGCACATCTCTCCGCCAACTGCTTCCCGTCGCTTTACCCAGCTACACGACCACTCCACCACCGCTCCCCACACACCCGCCCACGCCCACAGACAGACTCGCGCGGGCACGCACCTGCAGCTGCAGGTGCATCGAGCGGTAGTTGCGCTCGAAGACGACGCAGCGCTGGCGCCGCGCCGAGTGAAACCGCCGCAGGGCGTCGAGGTAGCTGCGCATTTCGACGGCCGCCTCCTCGGGCAGGTCGACCGTGCTGGCGTGGTGCGCCACGGGCGCCACCAGCACGTGGTCCCGCGCCAGGCCGCCCTTGGCGAGCGCCACGTACACCTGCGGGCGTCGTATCCCCGCCGGCGGGCGCAAACGGCAACGGGGCCACGGGGGGGCGTGGGGGGGAGGGAACGTCGGCGCGTCAAATCAATCGCGAGGGACTTTCCGCCGGATTTCTTTTCGCTTGTGCCGGGGAGGGGGGGGGAGGGGGAGGAAAAAGGAAAACAAATAAAAGACAGCACCCAAGTTGCCTTGGAATATCTTCACTATCCGACTCGTGCGGGACCACCACCTTTGTCCATCCCTTCCGCACACTCCGATCTATTAAAAAAAGGCTGCCTCTCCACTCTCAACCCTCCCAATTCAACTCTGTGTAAATGAGCATTTCGGGTGGATTGGCGGCGCAGTGATCGGCGTGCCGAGCTACGAGCCCGAGCGAGCTTCGTCCGATTCCCGGCCACGACGAATACCGGTGGCGAGGGATATCTCAACCGGAATCGGGCCTGGGCACCTCCACTTCACCAACCCACTCTGACCAGTGTGGGGAAGTATGGTCAAAGGACTGAGAGAGGTGGCATCCGCTCAGGGATCAGGCGAGTGGCAAACTACGAAGTAGCCGGTTTAGCCCTTTAGGCCCGCGGGCTGATAGGACTACAAAGTTACTGTTAGATTCATAGCGAGGGAGAGAGACCCTCGACTGTTTATTGATTTATTAGTCTTTGTTATTCACACTGTTAACCTGTACAGAGGGTAACGTTGTCATCTACAGGAGGTGAAGAGTGTATAAGGGTGGTAAGGGTTAAGAGATGTTAAGTGATTTACAGGGTGTCCATAATGCAAGTCACAAAACAGTATAAGCTATGTCGATGAAAATACAACAAGACAAAGATCCCCCATATAGCCCCAACAGACTGTAGGGGCAAGTGCTGTTAGCGAGCACCTATGAAGGCCGTCGGCACACGAGGGGGTGGGTGGCCAGCACCACGCCCGGCCGCCTTTGTCTCCCGAGTGATGATGTTTACACACTGAACCAGGTACTGAATCGATCGAGAGGAGCCCCGGGATCGGTTCAGATACTCGTCACTGATGTAACGAGGCTCCCACAAGGCCGTGCACAAGGGCACATGGCACAGTGTGCCGCCAGCTATCATAGATGCGCTACGCATCTCTAAATAAAATTAACGCCGACCACTTGCGTGTTCTAAGATTCAACGGCGAATGGGACAACCACCCTGCAACTTGTAGACGTCTCGGAACGGTGAAAGGGTTAATTGTTCATTTATTAACAAATGGCAAGTTGCCAATTGCAGGTCATATTATTTTACAAGGTATGTGAGGTCACCGGCATTGTCCGAGTGGCAGGGGGAGCAAGTGCCTACGTGTGTGTGTGGAGGAGGTTCATGAAGTACGCTGCTACTGCGCAGTTGGAAGCAGTCACCCTCCAGCAACAACGAGCAGAGCGCCGGGTGGCTACGGCACATAAAGTTGGCACAGTAGAGGACACAGGTGGTGCATCAGCCAGTCACCTCAGTCAGTCAACCCATGGCACCTGGTTCTGTCCCAAGACCTCCTGCCAGCGGGAGTTCGACACTTAACCACATCGCCTGGCACAAGCGCCGTGGTGATGTCACCGCCACTTAGTGGCGAATGGCGGTTGTTGTTGAGAGTGTGAGTGTGTGCGCGTGTGTGAGAGTGTGTGAGAGTGTGTGCGTGCGCGTGTGTGTGTGCGCGTGCTCACGTGCGTGCCGATACTAACAACCAAGTGCTTCTCCACATCGGGGCTGGCCAGGCAGAACCAACACGGTCCCGTCTGCTGAGCTGCAACACAAAAAAGAATAGAGTAATGATAACGGGAATTAAACAACGCGAAAAACTTCCACTGCATTAATAACGAAAACACGATCGGAAACTTACGCTTTTGTGTTTCAGAAAAGCAATGCTGCCCTCAACATAACCGTGTAGCTTCTCACACTTGTTATGCACGGCAGCTGCCCATCCATGCTCCATCCAGGCTCAAACCTGCTTTGGCTTCAGGTCCATGCGGCGTACAGCCATTTCAATACGGGCAAAACTAAATGTATTTGTTTCACCCCTGTGATGGGACTTTGTACGATAAACGTTGTCATTCATAAGGGGCACGGGGTGACCAACAAGGTCTCAACTGGTCTGTAATAAGGTAGGCACTGGTATAAAGCTTGACAAGTATAGATCAGGGCCATTCCAGGGATATTAAACGCAGGCAACTTTAATCAAATAATAAAACAAAAAAACATTCAAATGTTTGTAATTATGGTTATTTACGTAGGAATGGGTCACTGAGCATCTAAGTCACTCATCTAACTAATCTAACTCACTCATCTAACTAATCTAACTCATCTCACTCACACATCTAACTCATCTAAATAACTCATCTAACTAAATTTTGAGTTAAAGCTTTCGTGACTGCAGGGATTCATATTCTTGGTTCTTTCGGTAAAGTCACCACGTAGAAGGGAAACAATAAAATAATAAAAATATAAAACAATAAAAATTATCACGACGTTTCGGCTGCAACACAAGCAATCATCATCAGGTGTGAAAACCACAGCAAGAAAATGTCAAAAATGTGGCGGTTTTCTTTTTTAACGTTAGCACCATGCCAAATACTCAAACGCGTTTCTAAATGGGGAGGGAAAAACCGAAGGACCCGGAGAAAAATCCATGCGACCACGGGGAGGGAATGCAAACTCCAAATATACAGCAGGCGTCAGGGCCGTTATCAAACCCACGACATTCTGCATACCAGGCGAGGTAGTTAACATCGCCTAGCCACCGTTAGTGCCCACTACGGAGGGTCCTGCCAATTATTCACAGTAGGGGGCGATGTCGCCATGTGTAGAGTTATTTGCGGGAAATTTTCCAGCATTTTGATGTATGGCCAATACCAGTGACGTCGTGTGGTTTTATGTTAAACCGGAGACCGGAGAAAACTCATACAGAACAGGGGGGGGGGGGAGAACACATGGAAAAGGTGCCCGGGTCTGGAACCGTAACCCGGTGCGTGTCCCTCCTTCCTCGCCGTAAGACAACGGAAGAGTCATCACACCACGCCTTTCCGCCACGACAACCCGTTGTCCGCCGTGGCTTTCACGCACGTGGTTTTCGCGGGAGCTTGGCATCGTGGGCGGGCATGTGTCCCCCGCCGGGGCCGTCGGACCGCCGCTTGCGATCCCTCCCGTGACTCGGCGGCGGGCGGGCGAGGTCGAAGAAAAACTGCTGCGCCGTTTCCTGAAAGAAGATGCGCTCGGCGCTTTTTCCTGACCGCCGAGAGAACGCGCGCGTGCAGCCCAATTCCATTCAAAAATGGCAACGTGTTTAGTATACTTAGGATTATTTGGACGCTAAATATGTTTCCACGTGATAAGCCACTTCCGTTGGGCTATCATTTGCGGCCAGGTCCAACCCCCCGCCCCACCGCCCCCCCTGTCCGGCGGGGGATAAAAGCACTGTAACGTCTACAAAGAACGTTTAACAATGCGGTGCCAGGTTGCTCATGGTAGAATTCATACCTAAGTGGCAGGGGCTGTAAGTTTTAGCCTTTCGTTCGTGCACGTTTGTACGTACGCACGTTGAACTTCTTTCGCACCGTACGTAGCCAACCGTGCTAATCAGAGGTGGGTGCGGAGTCGACGATTCACCTCGCCCTGCACCGTCGCTTGGGAGGACGGTGGCTGGTGCTGAGGTCGCTGCTGCTGCTGCTGCTGCCGCTGCTGCTGCTTAGCCGTCGCCTTGGCAAAGGGGTTCTCGGTGACATCGGGCGGCTGGCGGACCAGCTCGGCGGGCTCCAAATGGCACATGGGCGCCACCGTGAAGGCGTACAGGTACTTGCGCTTGGCGGCGTTGCCCACGGGTGCCAGCGCGATGAAGCGCGTCACGTGGCGCGCTCCCTCCAGTAGCACTCGGTGATTCCTGTGACAGACGGCCACGCCGACAGGAAAAAGACGGCGCTGGCTGCTACGCCTGAGAACCCCCAGTTTAAATCGAGGGGTGCGGCTGAAACCCAGGGTCAAAGCCAGGCGTTCAGCAGATTCTATAAACTATTAAAACTTTTCGTCACATAGATACACGACGACCGCTTGTGTTGCGATCGAAATGTCGTGGTTTTTGTTTTTTATTTTCATTTTTTATTCTAGCTACGTGACATTACCGAAAGAACCAAGAATATCAATTTCTGCAGTCACGAAAGTTAAGACAAAAATATAAAAACTTTCTTTATTTTACCAGGTGAGGCCCACTGAGCTGTACAGCTCTTTTAGAGAAGTGACATGGCCACAAATGATCGCTCAACAAAGTGGCTTATCATGTGGAAATGTAAAGCAGCCAAATACTCAAAATGCACGTCAACACACCCGTGCTGGTGAGAGGGGCCTGCTTTTCAGCACACCCGTGCTGGTGAGAGAGGCCTGCTGTTCAACACACCCGTGCTGGTGAGAGGGGCCTGCTTTTCAGCACACCCTTGCTGGTGAGAGAGGCCTGCTGTTCAACACACCCGTGCTGGTGAGAGGGGCCTGCTTTTCAGCACACCCGTGCTGGTGAGAGGGGCCTGCTGTTCAGCACACCCGTGCTGGTGAGAGAGGCCTGCTGTTCAGCTCACACGTGTTGAGGGGCCTGCTGTTCAGCACACCCGTGCTGGTGAGAGGGGCCTGCTGTTCATCACATCCGTGTTGGTGAGAGGGGCCTGCTGTTCAGCACACCGGTGCTGGTGAGAGGCCTGCTGTTCAGTACACCCGTGTTGAGGGGCCTGCTGTTCAGCACACCCGTGCTGGTGAGAGGGGCCTGCTGTTGAGGGGCCTACTGTTCAGCACACCCGTGTTGGTGAGAGAGGCCTGCTGTTCAGCACACCCGTGTTGAGGGGCCTACTGTTCAGCACACCCGTGCTGGTGAGAGGGGCCTGCTGTTCAACAGACCCGTGCTGGTGAGAGGGGCCTACTGTTCAGCACACCCGTGCTGGTGAGAGGGGCCTGCTGTTCAACACACCCGTGCTGGTGAGAGGGGCCTGCTGTTCAACACACCCGTGCTGGTGAGAGGGGCCTGCTGTTCAACACACCCATGCTGGTGAGAGGGGCCTGCTGTTCATCACACCCGTGCTGGTGAGAGAGGCCTACTATTCATCACACCCGTGCTGGTGTGAGGGGCGTGCTGTTCATCACCCCCGTGTTGGTGAGAGGGGCCTGCTGTTCACTTCCATGCTGGTGAGAGAGGCCTACTGTTCATCACACCCGTGTTGGTGAGAGGGGCCTGCTGTTCACCACTCCCATGCTGGTGAGAGGGGCCTACTGTTCAACACACCAGTGCTGGTGAGGGAGTCCTGCTGTTCAGCACACCCGTGCTGGTGCGAAGATGGCGCTGATGATGGTAGCCTCAGCCGGTCGGTGCGCCCTGTTTTGTCTTGTTTTGTCTGTCAATTCAGTGTTTTTGCCAAGATTTTCGGAGTTCTCTAACAAGAGACGAACTTTTAAATATCAGGGAAACAACTCCTGTGGATTTAATTCCTACTTTTCTGCTTCCAGCGGCAGAATTAGTAGGCATTCTAGTCAATGCCGCGCTAGGCTTTGCTCAAGCAACGAAACGCCGCCCAAGGGGTAAACGGTCGGGGGCTCTAGTACGGCTACGCAGACGCGGGATCCGAACAGTGCTTCCGAGCTTTTTCCTCTCCAACGTACGTTCACTGTACAACAAAATGGATGAACTTCAGCTACTGATGGTAAAAAACAAAGACTTTCTTTCAGCTTCTGCATTGTGCTTCACGGAAACATGGCTGTGTGATTTGATTCCGGACACTTCGCTACAACTAGCAGGATTCCATCTTGTAAGATCGGATCGTGACATAGCACTCTCCGGCAAGACGAAAGGCGGTGGTATTTGTTTTTACATTAACAGTGGCTGGTGTGTAGATGTCACAGTGATTCTGCAACATTGTTCTCCACTCCTTGAATCAATTTTTATAACCTGTAAACCGTTTTACTCGCCTCGCGAGTTCGCGTCGCTCATTTTGGTCGGAGTTTATTTGCCGCCTTGTCCTCAGGTTAAAGAGGCCCAACGCATGCTCGCCGATCAGATTCTGAGTGTGGAGCGAGCAAATCCAGATTCGTTGGTTATCGTACTTGGCGACTTTAACAAAGGTAATCTCAGCCACGAACTCCCCAAATACATACAATTCATTAAATGCCCAACCAGAGAAGGGAACACTCTGGATCACTGTTACACTACAGTCAGTAGAGCCTACCACGCCGTCCCCCGAGCAGCACTAGGACACTCTGACCATGCCATGGTCCACCTGATTCCTGCATACAGGCAGAAACTAAAACTCTGTAAACCTGCTGTGAGGACATCTAAACAGTGGACCAGTGAGGCTGTGGAAGATTTGCGGGCGTGCTTAGACTGTACTGACTGGGATATGTTCACGACTGCTACCAATAGTCTAGATGAACTCACAGAGGCTGTGACGTCCTACATCAGCTTCTGTGAGGACTGCTGTATCCCAACACGTACCAGGGTGAACTTTAACAACAATAAGCCCTGGTTCTCAGCAAAGATCAGAAGGTTGAGGTTGGAGAAGGAGGAAGCGTTTAGGAGTGGAGATAGAGACAGATTCAAGGAGTCGAAGAACAGGTTTAGCAAAGCGGTGAGAGAGGCTAAACGACTGTACTCAGAGAGACTAAAACACCAGTTCTCTACAAACGACGCTGCTTCTGTCTGGAGAGGGCTCAGGCAGATCACCAACTACAAACCCAGAGCCCCCCACACCACTAACGACTCCCGCCTAGCCAACGACCTGAACGAGTTCTACTGTAGATTTGAAAGACAATTGGACTGTCCTGAACCACCCCTTCCAACCCAAGAGGCCCCATCCCCCACCAATACTACAGAGACGACTATCTCCTTTCAGGAGGGAGAAGTTAATAGACTTTTCAAGAGGCAGAATCCACGCAAAGCAGCCGGGCCGGACTCTGTCTCTCCAGCCACCCTCAGGCACTGCGCTGACCAGCTGTCTCCGGTGTTCACCAACATCTTTAACACCTCCCTGGAGACATGCCATGTACCAGCCTGTCTCAAGTCCTCCACCATCATCCCTGTGCCCAAAAAGCTAAGGCCAACAGGACTAAATGATTACAGACCGGTCGCCCTTACATCTGTGGTAATGAAGTCTTTTGAGCGCCTGGTCCTGGCACACCTCAAAGCCATCACAGACCCTCTCCTGGACCCCCTTCAGTTTGCCTACAGAGCCAACAGGTCTGTTGACGATGCAGTTAACATGGCCCTCCACTTCACCCTACAGCATCTGGACGCCCCAGCATCCTACGCCAGGATCCTGTTTGTGGACTTCAGCTCTGCCTTCAACACCATCATCCCTGCCCTGCTTCAGGACAAGCTCTTCCAGCTGAACGTGCCATACACCACCTGTAAATGGATCACAGACTTCCTGTCTGACAGGAAGCAGTGCGTTAAGCTGGGAACACAAGTCTCTGGCTCCAGGTCCATCAGCACCGGAACTCCTCAGGGCTGCGTCCTTTCCCCTCTGCTCTTCTCCCTGTATACCAACAGCTGCACCTCCAATCATCTGTCCGTCAAACTATTGAAGTTTGCGGATGACACCACCCTCATTGGGCTGATCTCTGGTGGGGATGAGTCTGACTATAGGTGGGAAGCTGACAATCTGGTGACCTGGTGTAGCCAGAACAACTTAGAGCTAAATGCTCTAAAGACAGTTGAGATGGTTGTGGACTTCAGGAAGAATACAGCACCACTCACCCCCATCACCCTGTTAGACTCCCCAGTAAAAATTGTAGAGTCCTTCCGCTTCCTGGGCACTATTCTCTCCCGGGACCTCAAGTGGGAATTGAACATCAGCTCCCTCACCAAGAAAGCTCAACAGAGGATGTACTTTCTACGGCAGCTGAAGAAATTCAACCTGCCAAAGACAATGATGGTGCAATTCTATACAGCGATCATTGAATCCATCCTCACCTCCTCCATAACCGTCTGGTACGCTGCTGCCACTGCCAAGGACAAGAGCAGACTGCAGCGTATCATCCACACTGCTGAGAAGGTAATTGCCTGCAATCTACCGACCCTCGAGGACCTGCACACGACAAGGTCTATGAGGCGAGCGAGGAAGATTATGGCCGATTTCTCCCACCCTGGACACTCTCTGTTTCAGCTACTCCCCTCCGGCAGAAGGCTTCGGTCCATCAGGACCAAAACCTCACGCCATAAAAACAGTTTCTTCCCATCTGCTGCTGGCCTGTTAAACAAGGCCAAGGGCTAACACTGTTTTTAACATTTGATCTACATAACGACACGTTGCTGATATTAACTATGTTTCCCTATTTGTATTTTTAAATTATATCTTAAAGCTATTTTATATTCGATATTTATTTAATTTTATATACTTCAGCCCCTTAGTGTTAGACTTTTAACCCTTATTATAGTAAGACTTGTTTAAAACTTATTTAAGATTTTAGATTCCTATATGTTGAATGTATGCACCATCCTGCCAAAGTAAATTCCGTGTCGGTGTGAACTTACATGGCGAATAAAACCCTTTCTGATTCTGATTCTGATTCTAAAATGTGGAGGGAAACACCAGAGGATCCTGAGAAAAATCCACGCGACCATGACCTCCTGCATACCAGGCGAGGTAGTTTACATCTTGCCACCGTGGTGCTCCGATGTCACATCTGCCCCACCGTCCCCAACCTCTCCCCACCCACCCATGCTCCCTGACCCACTCCCCCCATGCCCTCCCGCCTCCGCCCACACCTGAAGGGCAGCCTCTCGTAGTGCACCCCCTCCAAGCCGGCGAAGTGGTAGCGCGGCTTGAGGCAGCGGCACAGGTCGGCCACGGCTTGCGAGCCGCGGCATGCCACCTCCGCGTCCTCCTGCAGAGAGAGAGACAGCGCGGCCGCTGGGCTAGAGCAGGGGTCGGCAACCTGCGGCTCCGGAGCCGCACGCGGTGGCTCTTTAGGGAGTGCAGTGCGGCTCTTGAAATTCAGAAAAAAATGGCTCTTCTTGTTATTTTGGTTGCTGACCACCTGACCATGGAAGTCCAATTCACCATGGCAGTCCACTTCACCATGGGAGTCCACTGCACCATGAAATCCCAGTTCACCATGGGAGTCCAGTTTACCATGGGCAGGAATCGATAGGCGGTCGTAGATACGAGTTGTGGTTGTTACTGTGGGGGGCCTTAAGGTCGGAAAATCGGGGGGGGGGGGGGGGGGGGGGTCGCAAGTCGAGCCGTCGTACGTCGGGGGTCACCTGTACCGAGTCGCATGAAGGGGGCCCCCCCCCCCCTCCAGCAGCGATTGTGCAAACGGTTGAAGTTTAGCTGGTACTGTGATTTAAAGGGGCGCCACGGTGGCGAGATGCTAACTCCCTCGCCTTGTACGCAGGAGGTCGTGGGTTCGATCCCGACCCTGACGCCTGCTGTATATTTGGAGTTTGCGTGTTCTCTCTCCACGTGGTTGGGTGGATTTTTCTCCGGCTCCTCTGGTTTTTCCCTCCACATTCAGAATCTACATCACGTGTTTCGAGTAATTGGCTGCTGCCATAAATTTCCCCGTCATGATGATGATAAGCCGCCACTTCGTTGAGCTTTCGTTTGCGATGGCCAGGTCGCTTCTCAATAAGAGCTATATAGCTCAGAGGGCCTAACCTGGTAAAATAAAAAATAGTGTGGTTTGTTTTGTGAATTAAAGTTAAATAAAATTGAAATGAAATTATAGCCTAAACGAAATAAAAATGTCAAATAAAATGTTAATAAAATAAAATAAATGAGCTAATTACATTTTATTTATTTTAAATCGGCAAACTCCTTACCGGCTTGTTGCCGTACTGGGTGACGCCGGCGGGCCAAGGCGACGTGAGGAGAATGTCGACGCCGCGGAACTTGGCGTCTGAGATGAGCGGCTCTGTGAGCGAGACGACGTCGCGGCGCGAGAACGTGTGGGACGGCCCTGCGGCCCCCGGGGCTCCCGCCGCCTCCACACCACTCAGGTAGGCCATCTGCAGGCCAGAAGCGCCCGTGAACACCCCCTTGCGGCCTGCAGAGGTGGGGGGGGGATGCTGTAGGGTATGTATGTGTATTTATGTGTGTGTTGTACTTCTTTCGCACCCTACGTAGCCAATCATGCTAATTGGAGGTGCGGGGGAAGGACAACAAAACTAAACAAAAAGCAGTTCTAAAGAAATGAGTTTGCAATCAACACCGCCACCGTCATCATCACCACCATCATTATCACCACCACAACCGCCACTCATCACCGCCACGGATGATCACTCAACAATTATAACACACAGAAGTAACGTACCCAAGTAGGTGATATTTTCAGCCAGTTCCATCCCATCAACCTCCGGGAAGTACTTGGCAGTGGATTGGTCGTTTGCTCCAAGGATGTACGTGTGAATTGGGGCTGGAATACAATCATCACAAATAATTCTCAACACCTGGAACCACAGATATATGGCTACAGAGACACTTTTACAGCTTGACACTTGACCCCTATTCTGTTTGTATTCAACGGGGTCACACGGCCCTGTTGAATCCTAGCAATCAGGTCCAATCATAAACAGGTGCTTTATCTATATTCTTGGTTCTTTCGGTAAAGTCACGTTGATAGAAAAGAAAAATAATAAAATAAAATATAATTTAAATTTTCTATCTACGTGACTTTACCGAAAGAACCAAGAATATGAATTCCTGCAGTCACGAAAGTTTTAAGTCAGATGCTTTATCATTTAATGCCACCGATAAAATTGGTGGATTGTAACTAACAGCTCACGATATGCTAAGTGTCAAGCTCACACATTGTCATGTTTTACACATCTTTCCAAGTCTCTGTTTTAATCGATGAAGCGTCACACGCTGGTGTTAAACCAGCGTTCCAGCCACACCTTTCTTGTCCCCATTCTTATAGGCCTCCCATTCTTGCTCCGCTTCGGCCGATGCTCCAAAGAAAGACCCCAGGCACAGCAGCAACTGCGAAGGAACGGGGTACCGTTCAGAAAACGCAATTAGAAACCTCGACCTCCAATGCAATACGAAGACTCAATCGCTACCTTTCACCTGCACCATTCAATGAGAGGTATAACCCGAGTTGGAACGTGAGGTGCCTTCGCCGAAGTCCGAGTGAGAATGTGGCAGAATGTTGAGCGCTGTCGATGTGGTTCGGATAAACATATCGGCGGGGGCGGAGGGGAAAGAGTGACACGAGATAGGCGCCGTTGGAGCGGTCTCCGCGAGTCCGGCGACCACGGGGGAAGACCTCAGGGCAAATGGCAACTCGGGGTGCGGTAACGTCCACCTTAATACCTCGCCGCCCGGTATGCAGGAGGTCGTGGGTGCCATCCCCGAACCTGACGACGCCCGCTGTATATCTGGAATTTACTGTCTCTCCCCTCGTGGTCGCGTGGATTTTTGTCCGGGTCCTCCGGTTTTTTACCCTCCACATTTACAATCAACGTCACGCGTTTAGAGTGTTTGGCTGCAAAACATTTCCACGTGACAAGCCACTTCGATGAGCTTTCGTTTGTGGCCATGTGGCTTCTGAAAAAGAGCTACACAGCCCAGTGAGGCCTTGCCTCGTGAAATAGAAATCGCGGGAGTATAAAGCAGTAATGTTCACGCTTCCACCGTGGCTTCACGGGCGCCGTATTGAATGGCATTGGACTGCACCTTCCCTCCGCGGTAGAAAAATAAATGCCGAATGCATCTTCTTTCAGGAAGCGTTCAGGAGTCTTAGGTTTTAGCGAATCGACTCGCGCCCGGACTCGTCACCGACCCGGCGTGCGACTCACGTCGAAGTCGCCGCTCTTCTTCTGCACAGTTCTCACTCTGCCGTAGAGCGTGTCGATCCTGCCGTTGACGTCTCCGCACGCCAGGCTGCAACACAACAACAACACAACACACAGAGCGTGTCCACGTCTCTCAGCATTTCGCGCGCCTCCGATTAGCACGGTCGGCTACGTACGGCGCGAAAGAAGTCATAAACTAAAACTATTTTTTATTTTACCAGGTAATGCCAAACTCTTAAGCTACTTGGCCATAAATGATAGCTCAACGGATCATCACGTGGAGCAGCCACGTCACCCACAAAGATCCCCCGTATAGCCTACACAGACTGTAGGGGCAAGTGCTATTAGCGAGCACTATTAAGGCCGGCACGCTACACGAGGGGGTGGGTGGCCAGCACCACGCCCAGCCGCCTTTGTCTCCCCAGTGGCGATGTTAACACACCGCCGCACGAGGTACACTCATTTGACCCGTTTGTTGTCTTAACGTTCTGACCCCGTGCCACCTGACTGGGACATCGATGTAAAAAAAAGCTTCATAGATTATCGGATTCCTCCTGCAGTCAAAATATTCAGATTATAATCACCATCACCACCACCGCCACGACCACCACGCCATCCCGCCACCACCTCCGCCACCACCACTAACAACACCACCACCACGACCACCACCAACAACACCGCCACCAACACCGCCACCACCACCAACAACACCACCCCACCGCTGCCACCACCACCACCGCCACGACCACCACGCCATCCCGCCACCACCACTAACAACACCACCACCAACAACACCACCACCACCGCCACCACCACCAACAACACCGCCACCGCCTCCACCACCCCACCGCTGCCACCACCAACAACAACACCACCACCACCGCCACCACCACCAACAACACCACCAACACCACCACCACCGCCACCACCACCACCACCGCCACCACGCCAACCCGCCACCACCGCCTTCACACGAGGTGAGGCCCGCACGAGGCGAGTGAACTCACATCCTGAGGGGCTTCTCTGGCATCGTGCGGCGATGGTGGGAGACGCGTTGTGAGTCTCGTTCGGCGATGATAACGACAACGATGACGACGAGCGGCGATGTCGTTGATGAGGAGGCGGACGAGGGGAGAATTCGCGGCAGCACCCAGGGCGCGAACTCGGCCACCAACCCCCAGCCCCAACTCTGGCGAACGCGGCGCGGCCACACGATGACGTCAACCGCGGCGATGGAGCGACGACAGCGTGCGCCAGGTTGACGTCATCGCGACGATTGTTTTAACACCAACAAAATACGTGACATCATAGATAAATGGCGGGGGGGAGGGCGGTGGCGTCACCGCGATGGTGTTTAACGACAATAAAAAGTGTGACGTCGTTGAAAGAGGCGTGGGGTGGTGACGTCATCGCGACGATGTTTAACCAAAAAATGTGACGTTGATAGAAGAGGCGTGGAGTCGGGGCGTCATCGCGACGATTTTTTACGTTTTAAAACGAACGTCATCAGAAGAGACATGGGGCGGCGACGTCATCGCGACGATGTGTAACAAAATTACGTCATCAGAAGAGGCATGGGGAGATGACGTCACCGCGGCGATTGCAGACTGGAGAACTCCGATGAGCTATGAAGCACTTTTTTACAGATGTCCAGTAGGGGCGGTTGAGAAAGATTATTCCAGGCTAGGTGCACTTTTAGGCTGTCAAGTGAAGTTGTGGAACGCTATCGCTGCTGCTGCAGCTGCTAGGAGGAAGATGTCACGGGACAGATCCAGGTGCTGTGGGTTGCCATGTGCCAGGCTAGGTGCACGAGGTCACGGGACAGACCCAGGTGCTGTGGGTTGACTGAGATCAGAATCACTATCTTTGTTTAGACTGCAAGAGGAATCCGATGAGCTCTGAAGCTCTCTTTCACAGATGTCCAGAATGGTGAGATGACTGGCAGATGCACCACCTGTGCTCCCCATTGTCAACTTGCTGCGTTTTATTCACCCCGGTGCTCCGCTCGTTGTTGTGAGCGTCGCTCCTTGCTGGAGGGCTACTGTCCCTCCCCACTGCACGGGAGCCTCAAAGTGCACCTAGCCTGGCACTGCCCAGTCGCGTCCGTCACGAGCTTCCTCCGCCACAGAGGCCGATCATGTCACCGCTGGTAACAATCATCGGCAAGTCCACTCAGCTCTGCATCCTCTATCGCATTAGCCCCATCTCTTCTCTAGCCCGTACTGCGCAAGTTTAATCCCCTCTATCCAGCCAAACAGAAGATGCTTTGGGCATGGGGTGGCTGGGCATGCGGGCTACGTGACCCAGCCAACGCAGCCTCCTCGCCTGCCAGGGGAGCTCATTGAAGGTGCTGTGACCAGATCTGTCAAGGATCGGTGAGCTCCTAAAGCCGTCCAGTCTGGTTAAACCCAGGATGGATAGTAGGCGGACCGGCCTGAATGTTTCAAACCAGAGCGTTAGTTCCTTTTGTTTGAAGTTAAACTTCTGCTGACAAACAGAAGCCAGGTGCCGAGACTTCTCCACTCGCTCTACAAATGCCCCATCACTCATGGGGAGTTGAGCGGGTGGAGTGTCTGAAGAGCCAAAATACCCAGGCATGTGCTTTGTTTTGGTGGGGCTGATGGTAAGGCCCCATCTCTCAATGGCACACTCCATGTTCAGCAGCAGCGCCTCCAACGCCTCCTCTGAGCGAGCAGCAATTACCAAATCATCAGCATATGTCGCTGACCAATAGGGCGCCCATCCCTTGACCGCACCTTGGCATCGATCAGCCTCCCATTATATCATTACCTAATGACAATTCCTGTGGTACAGCCATGGAAAGATTCTCAAACTTCGTGGTCAAAAAAGGCCAAAGCACATCCTTGTCACAATCCAAGATGAACAGAAGATTGCTCCGATTCCTCTTGGCCACGCAGCTTTGCCTGCCCACCATCGTGAAGGTCCTTAATGATTGCGAGCTGCGGGTCAGCGATGTCCAAAGTATGAAAAATAACCAAAGGCTCTGACCCATTGATGGTATCATAGGCCTTGACCACATCCATAGAGAAGATATATAGGTCCCGTTGAAATTACCTTCAGCTCTGCTGGAGCAAAGTAACGGAGAATACACGTATGTGTGTAGGACCACCACGGTATATACACAACACGAATACAAACATCCCCCATATAGCCATAACAGACTTTTTGGGCAAGTGCTTTTAGTGAGTAGAACAAAGGAAGACCGGCACAGCACATGAGGGGGTGGGTGGCCAGCACCACGCCCGGCCGCTTTTGTCTCCCGAGTGGCGATGTTTACTACGCACTGAACCAGGGACTCTGCTTGATGCTGATACAACCTAGATGAGCCCCAGGACCGGTTCAGATAACACTGGTCTGCAATTTTTTAGATGTCGTCTGCTTCAGAGGTGAAATGTGCTGGTTATTGTGGATGTTGATGTGCTGAATTCAAATATGACAATTAAAACTGTTTGGATACTGTTCACAAAGATTTTTAAAGTTTTTACATTTTACGTCTATGTTTATTGTGTAGAGAGTAGAGTTTGACACATTAATTGTAAACCTAGGTCTTTTCACGTGTTTATGGTTGCTTTACATGATAACATGTCACCTGCCCTGTTCATGTAACACTTAAAAAATCAGCAAAAGGGTAATAGAAATACAATGTATAATGGAACAAAAGGCAAAAAAAACTATTATGTATAAGTACATAGTTTAGTCTTCATTCAGTGTCTACTCGGCGCTTCTTGACTTTAAATGGAGCGAGCATCTATGGTCACTGTCCAGCAATAGTCTGCAAGCATTGATGGGCTCAATTTGCCCTGATAGCGTTTCTCCATTGTTGCAATGTCCTCGTGACATCGCTCGCTATGCTCGTCGCTCACTCCGCAGTTCGGTGGGAAAAAATCTAGATGAGAGGGCAAAAAATGTATCTTTAGTGACATGTTGCAACCAAGGCTTTTGTATGCCTTGAGGAGGGTTTCCACCAACTCCCTGTAGTTGTCTGCCTTGGTGTTTCCGTGAAAATGTGCTGCCACTAACTGGAAGGCTTTCCATGCCGTCTTTTCCTTGCCAGGCAGTGCACTGTCAAATGCACAATTTAGAAGAAGATCAGGAATCAGAGGACCAGCAAAGACACCTTCCTTTATCTTAGCTTCACTTAAGCTTGGACATTTTCCACGGAGGTACTTGAAAGCTGCTTGTATATTGTCATTCATCAGTCCAGCTTGATGTCTAAGGGTGGTAACAAAATCTTCCTTGATTCAACAAGTGGTGGATGCTGAACACGTTTCCTCCCAGGCTCCAATGACTGCCGGAGTGGCCAATCTATCTTGATGTAGTGGGAATCTCTCGCACGACTATCCCATTTGCAGAGAGAACAGCGGCACTTTGTGTATCCAGTCTGCAGACCAAGCAAGAGAGCAACAACCTTCAAATCGCCACAAAGCTGCCACTTATGTTGGTCATAGTTTATGCACCTCAAAAGTTGTTTCATGTTGTAATAGGTTTCCTTCATATGGACATGACCAAATGTAATTGATGGCAAAACATTGCAATTATGCAGCAAAACAGCTTTAAGACTCATCTTTGATGAATCAATGAACAGTGTCCACTCATCTGGATCATGAACGATGTTGAGGGCTGCCATCACACCATCGATGTTGTTGCAGGCTTCAAGATCACCTTCCATGAAGAAGAATGGGACAAGATCCTTTCGACAGTCACGGAACATGGAAACCCTAACATCACATGCCAGGAGATTCCACTGCTGCAGTCTGGAACACAACAGCTCTGCCTTACTCTTGGGTAGTTCCAAATCCCTGACAAGGTCTTTCAGTTCACCTTGTGTTATGAGGTTAGGTACAGAGGAGGAGGATGGGAGAAAATCTGGGTCATGTGACATTGATGGTTCAGGACCAGAAGTTTCATCCTCTTCCGAATCTGGTGCATCAGGAACCGACAGTCCTTCTCCGTGGGGTACTGGGCCTATAGGTGATGGAATGTTTGGATAATGCACAGTCCACTTTTTCTTCTTTGATACACCTTTCCCAACTGGAGGCGCCATGCAGAAGTAACAATTTCTGATATAATCTGTTGGCTCTCTCCAAATCATTGGCACTGCAAAAGGCATCGATTTCATTTTCCTGTTCAACCACTGGCGAAGATTTGTTGCACAAGTGTCGCAGAATATGTGTGGGGCCCACAACTTGTCCTGATCTCCAATTTTGCAGCCAAAATAAAGGTGATAGGCTTTCTTAACCATAGTGGTTTTACTGCACTTTTCTAATGCAAAAGTCACTTCACCACAAACATAGCAGAAGTTATCTGCTTTGTTCACACAAGTACGAGGCATCTCTGTTCACTTTGGCTGAACATAAATGTGTCCCTTTGCAAAATCAAACACCGACAAATAAGAGAGCACGACACTGTATGATTTCTAGAGCTGATATTGGGCAATATGTTCAGCAGACGGATGTCATCGTAGTTATGATTGGATCATCCATGACTTCTAGGAATAACATGATGCAATTCATATCATGATGCAATACCAGGTTGAGATCACTTCATTCATTGTTTTGCTCAAAAAGCAAGTACTGTCCAAACCCAGTCATAGATTTATTCATAGATCCAGTCAAATATGTATTTGAGTAATTTCTGGTTTAAATTGAGATCTCTTCCATTTATAATTCACTTATCCTCCGCCATTCCCAAGTCAAGGGTCGTATATACTGACCCAGTTGCGTATCTTGAAAACTAGAGCCAATCAACAATTTTAAGCATTTTCATTCTCAGTGAACCACAATTAGTAAAGTTGGACTACATTTATTTCGGAAGCATTTTGGCTATAAACCGGTGTAATCGTCACCGGTGTTGGCCATGAGCTGTTATCAAACTCGGGTCGCCGGGTTCTTAGCGCAACGCACTAACCACTACGCCACCGCTCCCCACACACCACAAACATCACGATCTATGCACACACACTTATTTTACTCACTTCCCGAATTCGTCAAAGTTTATTTTAGTGACCATCGCATGCGATATTTAATTTAATCATTTTTAACGCTTGCACTGATATTAAAAAAACGAAGTGCGATTTCCTTTTTTTTTGCTAATACAGAACCGACACCGATGGGCGCGCGTTGCAGCGCGGAATACGAGAACCCGCGCACGTGGAGCTTGAATCGGGGGTCTGCGCTTCAATTCACCGGCGCTCGGCCGTGACGGACGATGCGGGAAGTGGGCACCGGCTCAAAGCGAACCTTCGCAGGGGACATCTGAGTCGACGAGAGGCTGCGATTAGACTCGCGGTGCACGG